AAACAAAAGGCCCGCCCGTGGCATGCAGCACCTTGCCCTGAATTAAATGCACCAACTATTCACACCCCACAATGCTGGTCCCAGGTTGATAAACCACGGTATGCTTAATAGGGGTGTTGGATTTATTACTTTTGGAGGGAACACCCCCCCAAAAAAGGCGGGTTTCTCCGGCCAGGGTCAAAACTACAAACAAAAATCCAGACTTGCTCCCCCCCGCCTTCGTTTCATTTGTACCCCAGTGACCCTCTTTGTCCTTGATGAAGGGCACCACTGGGGTGCACCAAAGAAGCTTTCAGCATATTCTTCTTCTATATCAAACACAAATTGGAGGAGCCCCAATTTGATGTCAGGGATTTATCGGATCCACCGACCTCAGGTGGAAAGCTTCGGAGAGGCGATAAAACAAAGCGGCTGAGGTGGCCACTAATGCCATGGCCAAGCGGTCGAGCATGGCTTTCCTAACGGCCGAACTGGTTCTGCCTTAATGTAGACCCCACATCTCACTTCCAATCGAGCAAATGGCCCCAAAAAACGTTCAAACTTGTTGTATGCCACTAAGATGGTCTTCCAACAAGTATTAAAGTCAAAGTCCATGAACTCAGGAAATGAGATCTTAATAAACCTGACCCTTTTTTGATTGGGCGGTGTTCCCCTCTAAAAGTGGTACGACCCCCCAACAAACACACCAGGGGATACGCCCCAATCAAAATCAACCTGATAAACACCTCTACAAGACACACGGACCACGATCAAAATGAACCAGGGCTTCTGCGAATCCGCAGGAGCCCGTTATAAGTTTCAACTCCCATGCATGGCCAAAGGCCTTGACTGAAAATATGAAGGCATGACTCAACAAATGCGAGTGTCTTTCTTTGGGGAAGCCATTGTCAGGCGCTTTCATGGGAAACCAGAACGAACCACCCATTTCGGGGCTTCAACAATATAAAAATTGCCCCATGTGCGCTGTGACTTGAGTCGCACTCCAATGGCGCCCACCGGTCCAAACTGCTTCAAGGCTCTTGCGTGTGTTGTGAAGCTGTAGTTGTCCAGTCAGTCTTATTTTCTTTCTCGCATTTGCCCATTTCAACTTTCAAGTCTTTCGGTCATTGGTATGGAGGATATTTACCACATCTATGGTGTAGCCATTATATACACATTCCATACCTCCAACAGTACCAAGCTTGAGCACATCGCCCAGCTTCCTGTTAAGTTTTGTTTAAGTTTCAATCGTCACCCAATCAACCCGCATAGGGACCAACATGTGATAACGCAAAGCTCACACGGGAATACATTACTAAAATTGAGAAACTCCCAGCATACTTGACAAACTCCCAGTCGCCGGTAGAACCAATCTGGAACCAGTGCAATGCGCTTTTTTTCGACCAATCTGACCCAAACAGGACAGCGACGCTAGAATCAGTTTGAGCTTTCTGGCCCTCCACTAAACTGACGGAAACTGCGTTTGGACACTGAACCCTCGCGGCACCCGCGGGAGTCTCCTGGCCAAGCCTGCTTCTGCGGGGCAGCCTGGCGTCATCACATACGCCAGGGTCATTGGAACGGGGGTGGTTGGCACTTTCACATCAAATTCAGTCATGGTTGCAGGACACAATTAGCACTTACTACCGTTGAGCCAGGTCATTTCCGATGGCTGGTGATATCATAGTGGAAAGTGGATGGCACAACTCCCATGTGGGGGAGCAAAGGGGATGATTGAATCGAAATGGGGGAAGTGTGCCATCTGGCTTCGCCCAGTTGCAATAATCAAGCTGATGTTGAACCTCTTTAAGGGTCTTCAAAGAGAATTGTTAAGCTGCGTGCGGTAGGGGCCCACGCAAGTAGAATGGGAATGTCTGGTACTGGCAAAACAAACTACTTCACGATCATAGGCCTTAGGCAAATCATAGCTGCATCTACCTATCCACATTCGTGCAAACGAAAACTGACCTTCTGAGCTGACTGGGCTAGAAGGACAATTGCTTAACTTTCTGCCCTTCAGCTAAAAAGATGCAGACACCTAGCAAGAAAAGGCTTAACGCTTGAACGCTGAAAAGGATGGGACCATATTAGGGGTAGAGTAATGATACGTTACAAGAATTTAGAATTTGCAAATCTGGATCCCCCAGTAAGGAGCCTTCATCATGGGTTGGCTCGTCTTCTCCCCAGCCCCAGGTGAGGTTGTTTTAATTTGCCCGACTCTTGGCCCAAATCTGGGGTACACCGAACACACATTTGTTATCTAGATAATTGCCTACGCAATGAGACTGCAAAAATAGAAAATACATAATTGATTCAAATCTTAATGTTGAAATATACTCTTTAAGTTTTTAGTCAGCTCCAAAATCCCCAGACACCTGCTGCTTCTTCCTTTTAATTCTGCCATGGCGATGCCGGTCTTTAGGCGACTGGTGCGCCCCGTCGCTCACCTAACGCCGGTGGCATGTATTTGGTCTTTTCAGCAAGGTGGACAGCTGCCTTCTGCTTGTTTGGCGGACGCCCAGGAAACGTGAGCTTCTGAGCTTCACTTCAAAAAGGAGAAACCCGCAAATACGTATTTCCCTTGGTATCCCTTTCCAACAGCACCAAGAAAAGCGGGCCCATGAACAGAATGCACACCCACTTCAAAGTTACTGGGCCATAACGGCGAAGCAACCTGGCCCCGGGTTCCAAGCAAAGGCGTGCCAAGCAAGCCGGGGCGAAGATCACGTGTCTTATGTAATTTCCATGTTTCCAGAAAACCACAAACGGCCCGAGTTGTGAAGAGTCATATGCTTAAGAATAGAAAAGAATCAACCCTCCCCATCTGTTTTGGGGATCCGAAAAGCCTTTAGTATGGGAAGGGATCCGTACCGCGAAGGCCGCATCCACCTCTCGAGCCTTTGCAGCTCTTTGAAACGCTGGCGCAGCCTTCAGGAGTCCTGGAAGCCCATTCTCGTGGTGAAGTTAAAGGACAAACCAAACACGCAACACTCACTTGCCCAAAGGAGCCCAGAACTAAAAGGTGATCACCTTTTGGGGTCATGACTAAAACTAGACCAAAAAGGAGAAACCAAAAGGTCAAAAGGTCGGCTTTGGGCAACTGAGAATATGACTGCTGTGGTTTTAAGCGCCCCGCAACCATGCCATTTGTTGAGGACCTAGTACTTGTCCTTTTGCCAGTGGCACCTGTTTTGTTTCACCAGTGAGCGGGAATGGCGACATTTGAACTTCACGCATTGAACTTGTCGAAGGTGGAAACAAGCTGATGGATGAAAATAAGAATTCACTTCATCTTTCTTACACTAATTCCTACTAGTACATCTATCTATGCCCTCGGCGCCCCTGATATGTCCGTTTGCAAACAACTTATGTGGCTTTTTCTGGTAGGGAACCTGAATCAAAGTTCGCTGACCTAAACCGAGTAAAGCCTTCACCGATTGCTAGGTGGAATCCGACTGTTTAGATTGGCATGAACCCCAAAGAGCAATGCTTTGCAGAGGAATCTCCTTTTGGGCTCCATGCCCTTTTGGGCTCCATGTGAATTGTAAGCGGGCACACAAAAACTGGAACCTGCCAAAACACACACGTACTCATCTTGCCCATCGGGGTAGAGATCATCTCCAGGAAAACACAAACTCTCCGTGCTGAAAGGGGGCAAATTTCTTCTTCTTGCAAGGGGGCTATTCAACGAGAGGGGAATAAGGTTTGGCTCCTTGTTGCCTCTTGACGGTGGATCCCAGGTACCAATATGATGGCAGCTATCCAGCTATGAGAGTTTAAGCTTTTAGACATGATCGATGGGGCTGTCTTTTTTGAGGGTATACCCTTTTTGGGTGGCTTTAAACTCATGTTTTGGTCCACTATTTTGAGACAAACTCACACAGGCGCCTTTGTTGCTTAAATGCGCGCTATTCAACAATTGCGGGTTGTCAGGATCTAAACATCACACATAGGTCCGCACAATGGGGGCCGATGATTGCGAACGCGTGGTGGATTGTGGAATGATACGTAAGGGTTGGAACCGACCATTTCCCTGAGTCGCACTGGTGTTGCCCAATATGAGGTCCAGAACTGTTCTGGCCGACAGGAACTCACTTAGACTTGTCCTCATGCGGCTGAGTTGCCTACCAAGCTTTAATAATTTCATTCTGGTCCCCTTGGCACAAGCACAAGGAAAGTCAGCACGCCCCGCATGGCCCCCGCCTGGCCCTGCCTGAATTCCTGTAAAAGGCTTCGAGGGACACCTCGCACGCTGTACTCGTCTCACGGAGCCTGGCCAAGGAGCCCATTCATCCTTTCCTGCTGAGCTGGCTATGCTGAAGTTTGGTTCCTAGCCTTTGCTGCTTGGCTTTGTCACTTTCAGCACGCCTCCAAAGTCAGGTGGGCTTGACTTGAACTCCGTCTTCGCGGAGGAAAGAAATTGAAACAAACAGAATGTCACATACTGAAACTATGCTCGGGAAACTACAGCCTACTGGAGGAATGCACAGACCGGGCGGATATCCGCATCAAGGTCTGGTTGGGTGTGTCCCCTAAGCTTCATCTGAGCTTCAGCTGTAGTTCTGCCAAAAGGCCTCAAAAGACGGGCCCAAGCTTGTTGACTTACCTAAAAACAGAAACGAAACATGTAATGCATTTGCTTCCCAAGACATGACAGGAACGGTTGTGAACAGCAATCACCGGCCGCGTCAGGCAAACAAAACAAAGAAGGTAGGCGGGCCTGGTCCTCATCAAACTTGTCCAAAAAGCCAGCGACCTGGTTTGACCGTTTGACCTTTTGTGACCAGATCCGGAACCAAAAGTTTGATTCTAGTTAAGTCCAAAAGGGCACTCCCTTACACATCCAAAGCCATAAAAGACCTCCTCTTCCGCAAGGCGTTAGCTAAATCTAACAAGGCTGCTCATTCCTACAGTATTTAAGCAAAATTGACCAGGGGATGCCCAGCATCAATCACTGTTCCCTCCCCTGTAGCCTTCGTTCCAACCACGGGTCAAAGGGCTTTTTTGCCCACCGAACCGTTTCAAGCGGATTCATCCGCCTCATCCACTTCGGCCAGCTCGTCCACCTGCGGCGAATACAAACGACACCCCCTTAAGCTTAGCTGTGTTGCAAAGAGAACCCGACCAACATAACGGAAAGACCTGCATGGCTGTTTGGTGGTTGTCTTGCAGGACAACCCTACCACAATCATCAAAACACAAGTTGTTTGGTGGTTGTCTTACAGGAAACCCCGTCCCCATCCAGCAAAGCTATGTTCTTCAAATGCAAGTCTTGCTGCATGGAGCTCGCCTGTGAAAGCCACCTGCCAGACCGCCATTCATATATCCAGGAGTGTGCAATGCTATGATATCTGAATTGTTGTGGACATTCTTGCAAGGCCCTCAGTTCTCTGTAAGGCACTTGAATTCTTGGATGTCCACCCGAGCTGAGCTGTGAGCAAGCTATGACATGATCACAAAGCCTTGCGCCAAAAGACTACTTCCAAGGGGACATAGGTTGCAAACTACTTCCAAAAAAACAGGCAGTTGCCATGGACAAAAGGTATCGAATTTGATCTACAAACCCCCCACAAAAGAAGAAGCAAATCGCTCCACTGAGGTCTGAGCCAAACTCGGCCAGTTCAAGCAACTGCTGTGAACCCGGTCCCCGCCTCATCGACGACGGCTTCTGGCATAGGTGCGTCCTGAGCATAACGCCGGTGTCGAATTTGGGCCTCTCTGAACAAATCCGGAAACCCCCGCCCAAAAGAGTAATTACCCTCAAAACACAACACGGATTTCAGAAGCAGGAGAATTCAGCAAGCTTCTACTAGTCGGCTCAAACTCGAACTCCTGCAGGGCTTCATATTCCCCAACCAAATCCAAGCAACAAATCCCGAAACAACAAGGGAATACAGGTGCCACTGAGCAATGTTCAAAAGAAAGATACGATAGTAACTGATCCTCAAAGGATTTCCCTGCAAAAGTTGCATTTGGTCCGGTGCGTTCCGATGAAACAGCTCAACAAACAGCTTTGGGAAGGTCCGGGCCGAAATATTTGTGGCTGTGCTTGCAACTCTTCCATTCTGCCACCGTATTTCGCCCAATGGGCCTGCTTTTCCAACCATGTCCCTGTCGATGCCAAAAACCCCTGCGTAAGCAAACCGGTCCCTTTGGTGTCCTGTTCGTTTCCCTAACCATCCCTAGGCTGTCCTCAGATCCCCCGGCTAAAAGTTTAACTTTTAGTGGGCTGAATGGAAAAAAACCAGCAAACACTAAAAAGATAAAAAGCTAAGGGGATGGCTGGGAGCCACCAAGATCCCTAAAAGGCTATCGCAAAACCCCTTGCCCTTACGTCCGACATTTGGCCTTCAGCCGGTCCCGCGCGTCCCAGGCAACCCCCGCCCGCCTCGTCTCGCTTCCGCTTCCTGGACAGAGCATCCAGCTGCTCCTCACACGACGCGAGGTGTTGATCCAGCCGAACAACTACCAAAAAAAAGCGTACTGACATTGGCGTCAAAGCTTCAACCATGTTTCCACGCGGTCAAAAGAGAAAGCAACCGGAAACCAACCTTTTAAAAGGGCTTTGACGAGGTTATATACATAAATATGGATGAATTTACCCGCAATGGACATTGGAAACTTGAGTCCTGCGTGCTCCGTGCGCTGCTAGTTTAAAATTATTGCGGCGGCCCGGCCTCCTGCCGTTCACAGGATGCCGAGGGTGTCGCCCAAACAAACCATAAACAGGCAGTATGAATTTGCCAAATAAAAGGATCCAAACTGCCCGATGACCATGTGTAACCATGTGATACCGTTGGTGAGTTGGGTTTTGAAGGGTGCGGGCACTTTCTCACCCCACAGCACCTGACAATAGGTCAAGCTTCTGGCGTCCTTGAAACGAAGCCTAACAGCAACTACCTCAGCTGTCGCCCGCAACCAACAAGTCCGACTCTGGCCTAAAATTCACCTGCGCAAAGGACCTGGAAGTGAAAGGTTTTGTTTTCCACTTTGATTAGGAATCGTGCAGGGTGTATGGCCTCTATTGGGGTGTGGTTGAGTCTTTTTCTGAGGCTATATAACCATTTTGGGTTGGCTTCAAGGGAACCAAAAGGAAACCAGTTCGGTCAAACAAAGGTTAAAAGGCCCAAAAGGCCCACAAGGTTAAAAGGTCGGTTTGGACATCTGGGTGAAACGTAAAAAATCCTTTCAAAACGCGTCCCCAGAAACTCGGGGTCCCACTGGATCCCAGCCGTCCTGGTTCTGTAGGCTCTTGTCCGGCCGCGCCATCTCCTCAGTCTCCTCCGCCTGAACCGGCCAAACGTCCAGTGCATAAAGAGGATGCCCTCTCCCCTACACCCTATACTAGCTTCTTTCAGGGTATGATGTCGACCCTCTACCAAGCAAAACACCTCTAACAAAACGGTATTTGGAGGGGGTTCCAGGAAGGATAAAAGGGCATCACTGCAATAGACCCAAAAGTAAACCGGCTTTAAGAGTTTTCATCCACTTATTCTCCACGTCCAGGCCAGGAAGGCCTTTTATTTCCCAAGCCTTCTCCCGGCCAAAGAGAACAACATCAACATGAGCAAACAAGCAAAAGACGTGCCAACAGCCAGAAGCTTTCATTCCTTGAGATTGTTCGATGGTTTGCACACACGGGTTTGAATAGCCCTTTAATGGCCAAGAGAGCAAACCCTGTAACAGCTTCAGCTCCATACCAGGACATCCCATGTTTCGGCCTAGGTGACCTTGTGGAAAAACTACGTGATGGGTTCGTGCTTTGTTGAAAGTATCCTTTATCAGGCCGGTCAAAAGGGAACATCAAAGAGAAAACAACAAATTTAGTGGACACCGCCCAAGGTTGGCACATAATTACCCAAATGGGTGTGTCTCACTCACAACAGGGCTGCCCCACAAAGGTGTTGGGTTCCTTTTGGTCGCCCTTTAAAACCACTCATACAGGGATCCTTACGCTATACACCTGAGCATTGCCTTGTTAATGGTGCATGTTTCAAATGGGCAAAATGTATCTTTTAAGGAGCCCTGTCATAAAAGCAGTAATTACCTGTACCTTGGCCGGCCCAGGGCGCGCCTCTGCCGCCTCTGCCTCCGCCTCTGCCTCGGCTTCCAGGGCATCGGACCCGTCGGTGAAGAGCACGTCCACCGCCTCTTCGCCTTCGCAAGAGTTGGGCAGGCGGGGGTCCCTGGATTCCGAAAATCAAACGTTGATCACTTTATTGGTGGTGTTCATTGAAACTGCCACTTGTGGAGGTTCCAGAAACAGGGAAATGGAGGAAACCCTGTCAAACCTTGGTGAAAGTGATCTAGAGATATTAGAGTAGACAACCTGATAAACTGCGCGAAAACGCACAACATGCTAGATATTGTTGGAGCTCCCGGTGCCGGAGTCTTTAGAGAGACACTTCCACAACACCCTCTGTCCTGGTACCAGTTGAAAGCGCGGCAGCGCCTGTTGAAGGCTGGGCCCGTCCTCTACTAACAGTCATCAATTGAGTTGTCATTTTGGCTCAAGGGGAGGCGTTTCGATCTGCTCGAAAGTTGTCCTTTTCCGCTAAGCTGGCACAAATGCACACATTTTGGCACGAAACCCTCCAGACCGAAAAACACTTGTTTGAGGGGGGACTTCTTCGGTCACCGGGAAAATATCAACAACCACGGCTCTTTCATGTTCGACTCGCCAAAAGAAACGGACCCAATTACATTCCATGGCACCAACTGGTCCCCCGTTGTTCTTCCTTTGTCAGGTGCCATGCGTCAGCTTCCCTCTAATTGGTTTGGTGCTGGACCACCGCTCACAGCCGCCCGTGGGACGAACTCCATTTTTTTGGCTTTTGTGTTTGAACTCCATTTTTTCCGTGTTTTTTGTGCTTTCTTGCTTTTTGGTGTGGTGGGGGGGGGGTGGCGGGGGGGGGGGGAATGATTTCGTCACTTCTTCGAGTTTGCTTGGCAAGAACTTCTTTATTTCCTGTTTCTGTGGGGTGTGTGGCGTTCTTTGTTAGTGTGCTGAGCTGTCTTGTTTTGCTGTAGCTTCTTGTGCTTGCAAGCCATGGTGTCAGAAGACGTTCGTCTAGCGTTTGCCTTCATCATCTTGCTGCCTTTGGCTGGCGTCTCGCATTGCTTCTCCACACACTCGGTGCTGGGTCCTTTCTTCCCCCCGTCGGCTTTTGAAAAGAGAGTTCATCATGCAGTTCCCAGGCAACATGCGGTCTTGAACATGCCAGTGTGTTGCCTGCAACCGAAAAACCGACAAAGACTTTTGGGGAATTAACCTTTAAGTGAAAAACAGACTAAGGACCCCTTCCCCCCGTACTAAGGACCCCTTCCCCCCGTCGGCTGTTGAAAAGAGAGTTCATCATGCGGTTCTCAGGCAACATGCGGTCTTGAACATGCCAGTGTGCCTGCAACCGAAAAAACGACAAATATTTTTGGGGAATTAACCTTTGGGTGAAGAACAGACTAAGGACCCCTTCCCCTCGTCGGCTTTTGAAAAAAGAGTTCATCATGCGGTTCCCAGGCAACATGCGGTCTTGAACATGCCAGTGTGCTACCTGCAACCGAAAAACCTACAACTATTTTTGGGAATTGACCTTTGGGCAAAGAACAGACTAAGGACCCCTCCCCCCCGTCGGCTAGTGAAAAGAGAGTTCATCATGCGGTTCCCAGGCAACATGCAGTCTTGAACATGGCAAAATCCTTGACACACGATAGTTGGGGGCTGCAAAAATGAGCTTCTGAAAGCAGCATGCCACTGGGATTCGGGAACGCAAGAAATTCCCCACTGTCTCGGCGCATTTAACATGAGGGACAGACAGGGCTCTCCTTTCCCCCCTGTACTCGCAGCTTCGACAGGTTGCTCCGAGGCCAAAAGACTCACGATATTACTCGGGCAACTATGGGCGGTGTACCTAGTTTCCAAAGTGGTTTCCTACTACTCCCACAAGAATCAGCGGTTCAAGTCCCAGTTCACACCAAATCACCAACTTCAGGTGTATGAGTTGCCCTCCTCCGCCACAGGTAAGCATTCAAGGAAACCAAGTACTTCAAGCTGTACATTTTGACCGGACTGAAGCAAAATCTAGGCGATGTTAATCCACCAATACCCCTCGGAAAGGAACCTCGAGATATCTTGTCGCAAACTTTGTAAACCCCAAACGACCTTTGTGGGGTCGCAACAAATTGCCCCTGCGCAATTCCGAGGTCATCCAACAAACATCCAAACACAACCTGCTTTACAGGGGTATAATCAGCAGGTGGTGTGCTAACTTGTTCAAATCCGCTGCTTTGGATTTGAAGCCCCCTCAAAAAAAGAAACATATTTCCAGCAGTGATAGATTCCCTTCAAACCAACAGGGGGAAACGTGCTTTCAAGAAAATGAAAAAATGCATCTTTTAAGTGACCTCGACAAGGGGATGGGGCGCGGCCGAATCGAAGGCTTCCAGGCCTTCTGCATCGAGTTCGGCATCCTGCCGAGCCAACGGAAGGTGAAAGAGTCATCCAAGTTGGGGTACCAAATCACTGTTCGGCCAAGTTTGGCAAATTCTCTTTTGAGAGCCCTGGGTGAGCTCCGATTCAAAGAACGCCTGGCCAGAGGCGACGGGCATATAATATGTCTTATGTTTCACGCTTCCTGCCATGGGCCTGAAAACGACAAGTTAGTACGTGGACAGCTGTGCTAAAATACCGGCCATGAGGCAACCAGTTGGAAAGGTTGGCTTGCGACCGAGCTACACTTGCTTTGCCAAATCCTCATACACTCATGCGCCTGGAGGTTTCGGAGCCAAGCACACCACCCCCCGGTATACCACAGCTCCGCAGGAAAGAGCAACCGTCAAACAAGCTTGGACATGTCTTTGAGTAGTGGTGGTTATGGATCCCTGTTGCCATTAACGACGGACAGTGTGCCAACTGCAACGCCGATGCCTTTGCATGAGTCTGCGCAAGCCTGCGTTGCCAATCTGACGCGCTGGCAACAAAACTTCGACAGCGTCATTGACGTATGGACTGCCCTTGCCCTCAGCAGTTTGCACGGGCCGGCCCTTGTGACTGCACCACATTTCGCGCACTCCTCGATGCCATCAACAATGCGATTGGCACTTGGGATGATTCCTAGCAAAAGGACATTGCGCGTGCTTGGCTCAACGAGGCCGCCAACCTGCTTCCAGCCAAGCCTTCTTTTCATGCCAGCAAGCCTCTTGTAGAAAATATGGCAGCGCGCCCCCTGTGCCAAGCTTTAGTGTGCACGCTGCGCGCCTTGAAGCTGCAAACGGTAGTGCTTCCCCCGCCTGTTGCGCAGAGTGGGTTTTTTTGGTGCTGTTGCGTTGAACAAGCCGACTTTCTATGTGCTTCACTTGTTTGTCAGGCAAACCCACGATGAAGACTTGCGCTCGTGGATCTCCCAGCTTTCTGACAGCTGCGCCTTTGACTTGCATGTGCTCTGTTGACACTGAGCGTGATGATCAGTGCAGCTTGCGGGACAAAGCAGCTGTGTGCTAACTTGTTGGCCTTTGCGAAGGCTGGCCGCTTCATCGGTGGCCAAGCATGCCCTCCTTTTTGAACTTGGGGTAGCGTTCGGGAGCGCAACTTTAGAGAAAGCTCAGGGCTTGCCCAACGGCCACTTCGAGCTGCCAATCAAAGCTGGGGCTTGCCTGATAGAACGCTTGCTGAAGCAACGCGGCTTGAAACCAGTAATGCTTTGCTTTTTGCTGCTACCCTGTTTTTGCTCGTGATTCAGCTTGCTGGCGGAGTTGTTGCCCTTGCACACCCGTGTGAGCCCACGCAACTTGAACTGCCTTCGATCTGGAAGTTGCCTCCACCTAGGTGGTGGGCCAGACTTGCAGATACCCAGCTGTTCCACTTCAATGTCTTGTTGACACCAACTACCTGTCTCGTAGGAGGTGCGCCTTGCACATGGGACCTCTTGAGCCAAAGTAATTATGCCTCCTGCCTACAGCCTACCGCCACAGCGGTCTTGTGAGGGCAAAGGGCATACCGCAACACTTCCCTGCCTGTCGCCCTTAACCAAGGCTTTGCCCGAATCTTTCTCTGGAAAGCGAAACCTGTGCCACCAGACAGCGTTTTGAGAGGCCTTGTCCAGTCGTCCCTTCGGCGTACCAACTCCGATAGCTGAGGTGAAGACTTCAAGGACTTCCAGTCTCTGAACTAATTCGGTGCCCAAAACGGCACGGCGATTCGCCATGGAGCCCGGGAAGGGGAAGGGAAAGGGTAGTGGTGAGGTTGGGGAGTATCGCGGCCAGTTCCACGGCTCCATCGAATGCGCTGGGTTTTCAAGAAACACGGACAACAAGCCCAAAAGCAAAATTCATACATGCATAGAACACTCAAACTCAACAACGCGAATTGACGAATCCCTAGGTAAGGAACTTCATCCTGGGTAAGCTCGTTTCAACATGAGGTAAGCTCACTGAAAACATCACACACACACACATGTATGTGCATGTAAATGTAGATAGTCAATATATACATATATATATATAGATAATATGTATACAAACGAAAAGATATATATATATATATATATATGTATATATATATATAGAGAAAGCCATATGCAGTATCTTTGTATTCTTTATATGGACAATTGATCCATTAAATTAACAGGTGCTCCAACCATGACCCAGGTCCGGGCTCCCTTGAAGTTGCCCCGCCTCTGGCTCTTCCTTCGCCTGCGCGCTCCGTAGCTTTGCAAGTGGGTGTGAAATGGAATTGGGGCTATGGTTTCTACCTGGCTTCATTGCAATGGTAAGTCCCAAGCCATTGACCATGCAGAACCACAAACTGAAAACACAATTTGATTAAAACACCATTCAGGTTCGGATTCATGTGCAGCAACCACTCTTGAGGGGGTATCGCCAACCGAGGAACCTAGAACCTCCGCCCAGGATTAGATCAGACTCCACAAGCGTTTCTGTCGGGGAAAAATACTTGAAACGTCCGAACCGCAAGATGTCAGCAACAAAGGTTCACCATGTTAAGAGAACCTCTCCAAACGAAAGCTGAAGGGAGTCGTCTCACTGAACTGGGTCAAACCGACAATGTCGATCTGGTTGCTTTTCCAACCCAAGGCCAAGGGATCCCTACCACGATCGTAGGCAATCCGGTTATTGCTGGTCACATTGGTTTACCATCATCAAAGTCAGCCCCCAAGTGGTAGGTTAAAGGGAAACAATCCCATTCTCTCACTTTGATAACCCCCAGAAAGTGTCAACATAATCTTGGCCGCTGTTGACCTCTTCATGAACAACTCATAGGTCTCCCAAAAGTTACAAAGTCCAAAGATCCAACCCAATAGCAATCAAGTACCCTGAGGTTCAAACCACCATGTAAATCAAAGGGTCAATATAACCAGCATTGTTTACATAAGCAACTTCATCCTCCAAATTGGGTCAACCATTCGTTTGATGCGGATTGAACCCCAGGGAGTAACGACCCCATAACTTCTCTCTAGTCTTTGAATGGATTCCTTTGAGCCAGTAGCTGGAAGCAGTGCATCGCTCGCCTCGGCGGCAGCTTCGGCCTGCTGCAGGCTTGCGGCGCCCTCCTTCCAAAACCTGGCGCCGCCGTTTTTCTTCGTGGCGGGATATCGACCCTGTTTGGTTCCAAGAAAAAGGGGGTCCTGGGCATCTGGTCTTGTGGGGATGGTAAGTGCCTGTTTGGGGGAGGGGTGTTCTAAAGGGAACCAAAGACCAAAGGCAAAATACTGGGGGAGGGGGTGAAGGGAACCAAAGACTTGGACACCACCTCTTTCGTGGCCGAGCACCGCGAGCACCGCGCAGTCCCCACCCGCCCGCCCAAAGGCCTCTCTCCCGCGAGCAGCTTCTTCCTGCGGTCCTGCGGCTGCCCCTTCAAGCACACCAATTGCGCACATAGGTGCGTTTGTTTTTAGGGGACGCAAAATGGTGGTTTTCCTTGTGGCAGTGGGTCAAAAATAGGTACGCTAAATGGAGCCCTGGCAAATGGAACCAAGGACTACAACCTGTCCCCTGGTGGTTTAACTTTGACCTATATGTTTGTGGTTCTCCTTCAAAACCACAACAAAGGGAGCACCCTCCAAAACGAAACACGCCCATGTCGAGGGTGAACGGAGCGCATTCCCCAAACCACGGGCGAGTTCGGTCGTTTACATGTCCAGTTTGTTGCCTGAAACATGTTCGGCACTCTCAAAAGTAGAGAAATACTCCCCGGACCTTGGAGCCGTTCCTTTAGAGCCGTTCCTTTAAATGGCACACCTGTCGCTTGGGTTCCCATGTCAAAACTTTGTCACGAGCCCCCCAACCACAAAGGGTTTTTCCCACATTGGGCCTCCATAAAGAACAAACACTTCTTGCCACTGGAGGTCAGGTTGAACAATTGCTTCCATTTGCTTAACTCCCCTGGAAAAAAAACGACAATTTGCCCAGTAGTGCTAGATTCCCTTTGACACCAAGCGGGGAAATAATGTCAACCCCGGATAGATAAACCGGTTTATCAATAGGGGGCGCTCACCTCCAAGAGTGATGACTCTCCACTACAACAGGGGCACCCCCTATTCATCAACCAGGGGTTTATTAATCCGGGGTGAATGTTGCAACAAATAATGTTCTGCAAATGAAAGATTGGGGGCTTCCACTCCTTTCCCCGCGGCTGCGACTCCTGCAGGGACGTCTCACTGCCCACCTCACAGTAGAAGAGGTACTTCCTGGGCGGGGCTTAGCCTCTCAACAGAGTTCCCTATATTTTTGTCTATTGTCTGTCTTGGTCCTCCAGTAAAGAGGTTAGAATAATGGTACCCGATTTTTTCTCTGTAGTCTAGTTTAGTAGGGGAACCCTCCCCCAAAAAAAGCTTGTAAAAGGGCACTACTAGGGGACCTAGGTTCCCTACTTCTTTTTTCTGTTGAACACCCCTGCACCAACGAACCTTTTCTTTGAAGGGAGTTCAAGTGGTTGCGATTGGTCCAGTTTTTTTTTACAATCTCAAGAGGTATGGTTTGGTGCCCATATTCCGATTGGAAGGCACCAACAAAAATGGACTTGCAGGGGTGGGATCCACTGAGCGAACTTGGGGTGAATTGAAGGCAAAATCATTGGGAAACCGTGGTTCAGGTTCCGTACGTTGCCCCCCTTCCCTTTTGGACCACGGATCGTACCCTCGGTGACACAAGTGAACATGGGATTCGAAAAAATGGAATGCAAAGGTGGGACTCATGTCCTTGACAACCCTTGGTATGGTTGCAAACAACTTTGCTGTTTGCAGCCCCCTACTAGAACCAAAACACCGGAAAAAACAAAAAACTTGCCAATAACAGTGAAGTGGCAGTTGCCCATCCAGGCATTCAAACAGAGTGACTCAAGCTGGACTGATGCTGGTTGGCTTGTAAAAACGGAGGCTGGCAAGGACGACGTGGTGCTTGACACCCCCCCCCCCGGCACCTCGCTGGGGGTGACCCCCCAAACGGGGAAAGCTGAAATGGAACAACACCAGAGGTGCGTTTGGGGAGGTTCACCCTACAACACACCAGAGATGCATGGATCCAAACTAGGGCAATCAGCAATTTGGGGGGTTAGCTTGAATCTCCCATTCTTCTAGGGGTTGATTCCCCATTCTTTTCGGCCATCGTTCTTTTCAGAAGCCAGCCATTTGCGCAGGTTTTTGCTGGTTTTCTAGAAAGATCCGGATCCCTGGAAAGAATGGAAATGGAAGGTACCCCTAGAATTCCGGACTTGAACTTCAAACCATCCCCTTCGCTCTGGGCCCAAGGAAGCCGAAGGAAGCCTCGCGGTTTTTATTTTTTGGGGGCCACCTCCACAAATTATCCATCCACGCGAAACCAAGACACGATGCAAGACTTGCAAAGCACACTCCCCCACTCCCCGGCAAATTCATACGGCCAAAAAGGAGCTGTCCTTTCTCCAGAAGCTTCCTTTGGCTCCATATGGTAAGGGGGTCTGTCTTGTTTTGTGGGCACCCCCTTTTGGTTGGAGTTTACAGGAAATCCAAAAGGAAAACACACCAGTTTGCGGGGTCCAACCTTTAAAAAAGCGCACGAGTCAAGACCTAAGGCGTGCCAAGACACCCAACAGTCAGCGTGGTGCCATCGCGGATCGGCACGGGCCCATCCGTTTCTCGGATCTTCCTCACGAAAAGAATCCCCCCAATTCGTGATGCTAGCAACAACTCCAATTAAGGCATGATCGGAAGAACATGACGTGTGTGATTAGCTCTTAAATTGATTCAACATTACGTATGTTTCATAAGCAAGAACCCTTCATCAACATGTGCCCAAAAGATACAATAGCAATCTAGGGATGCACCGGGAACATATCAAGGACGCTAATAAGTCCTTGCGCCAACCTTTCAAGTTGACAAGAGCGGCCTGCTTCAAGCAAAAGGCGCCACCATCGATTGAGCAAACAGGTTGATTCAAAAATTCAACATGTCAGCTGGCAGGGCGGACGATTTGTAGGTGTTGCTTTTATGCTTCAAGCTTCAGATGCCTCACACCAAAATGTATCAGGCCCGGGCAACATGGACAGGATGCTTCAAGGTGGCTGCCCTCAATGTGCCCATAAGCAAACACCCAACCCCTCCCCCACCCCTCTCCTCTCCTCGACCAACTCCTCCGCCTCCTCTACCCTTTAAGTTGGATGCCTTTGGCCGAGCGGCTGACCATCCACCAAGGTGCCGATCGCAGACTCCAGGGCCATGACGTAGAAGTCGTTGCCCATGCGCAGCAGCCGGCAGTGCTGATCCTATCGAGCGCTGCTCCCCAACCTCCAGCTTCCACGGGAAAAACGGCCACCCGTGTTTGGGTAGCTGATTTCTGAACTAGCTGTCTTCCAGGCCGCTTGGGCCAAGCTGAACGAAACCAATCCATGGCTTTTGCTTTGGGTTCCTTAACTAGGTCCCCCAGTAGTGCCCTTTTACCGTTTCTTTTTTGGGGGAGGGTTCCCCTTCGAAAATAGACTACAGACAAAAATTGGGTACCCTTCTCAAATGGCCGTAACTTGAAAACTACCCAGGTCAGCCTTGGGGACTCTCTAAGTACAGCTCAACATCCTGGAAAGATGGATGGAAAGATACACTCAGTTTGAACTTGCCCAAAAGTAAACACCACCCCTCAAAAGAAACCATACCTTCATGCATAGCAGAGCAGCAAAAGGCGGTGTAAATACAGTAAATCCCACGGTGCCAAACCGCGAACGTGAGGGAATCCAATTGTAAGGTGTGTGCTTTCAGGGAGTGAGACAATCCTTGACATCGCCGTAGACCTTGGAGGCTTCTTTCTGGCCTGGCGCAGGGAGCAAGGAAAAGCTCCGGGCTGTTACTACCCACCGGACCTCCCGGACCATGTATCTTGGTTGCTGTAGCGACCCCTCTGCAAAAAGTTGAACTTTGTGTGGGTCCAATTCGGAGAATCCAATGTGCTAACCGAAAAGCTTAAGTCCAATAGCCATCAAGCTAGTGCTGTTCAGGTCAAAGCAGGACACCCACTTCCGATCCAAAGGATTTGTCCAACAGAAACTGGTTTGAAGTGGGAAACGCAACTCGGGAAGTGAGGAAGGCTGAACCGGGAACCCGGAATGAGGGGTGGCGCTTCTCTACGAGAATCTGACAATTTCAACGCAACAAAAACACGTAATCCTATGTCAAACTGGGATTAAGCCAAAGGAGGGCCATTCCAAACAGGGTGTGTTCCCCTACGAGCAAATAGTCCTTTTTGGGAATCCGGGTTGATGCCAAGCTTATATAAGGGGGGATTCCCGGCACGTTTCTTTAAAATTCAGCCATGGCAAAATGGTTTTCCACATGTAGAAGGCTGATACTGTGCATCCAGAAATTGAAACCTGAACCGCCCACGTGCGATGTCTTTTTCAAATTTCTGTGGCACCCAGCTTCCTGCTAACCATCTGGTCACAAAAGAACATGCCAATGCCCACACGTCGCGCGTGGTTCTGGGAACCATGGAATTGAGAGATACCCTTTGAGGTGCCGCCTGGTTTGCTTCTGAAGACTTGTGGAAGTATATAGGGTTTCGGTTCTAGTTCTTGGGGAATGGAGGTTGGCTGTGCCATTTCGTGATACCAAGGAAGCCCATCTTAAAGGTGACCGTGTGCAAGAAGGGGCAAGACTTGAAGGCGACAAGTAGTCCTAACTTTCCCTCTGAACCACAATAGGCAAAAAGGTGAAATGTTTCCCAGAAAGCCCTTTGTACAGGCGACAAAAAGGTAAAAGGCGCGACCTTGGACCCTTGGCCCGACTCGAACTAACTACACGTAATACATGTCCTTAATTTGGCCGCTCCCCACTGAAAGCGAACGTACCGCTCCAAAACCGCAGGGGAACAAAACAAATACGGTTTTTGCTCACAATCTGGATCATGCTATGGATGGACAAACTCCGGCACCAGTATTCATAGGATTCATCTCAATTTCAGGTTTGCGGGGATGGACTCTTCAAAGCCAAGGACAGTTGATGTCCAACGGATTTCATGGTAACCTGAACATCCCCTCAAAACACCCCACCATATCTTTTCAGAACTCCTGGCAGCTCCTTTTTCAAGGCAAAGTTGGATACCCCCAGCTCCGAGCCCACGCCCCTCGCCTAGTGCCATGTTCACCTCCAGCTCAATGACCTGCTCCTCCGTCGCCTCCTCTGGCTGCTGCTTCCCGATCACCGCGCTCGTGCCTCTCGGTCGCATGGCTTTCCCGAAACCTGCTGCTGGGTGACCATTTGTCCCGGAAAACATGACATATCCATCCAATGTTGCCTTTCCCTTCGGGGAAATCAACGACTGACAAGCTATAAGATGTTTGGCACCTAGCTTTAGTACTTTTGTCGGTTGGATTCCACCTGTTTCAAACTCCCTGGGCAACCTGCAGCAAAGCAAAACGTGTAAATTTTGCGGCATGAACAAGCCTGCTGCATTCTGTAACCCTAACAAGCTGACGGTTCAAAGGCCCAGCTATTGTGCTCTACCGGGCCGATTCCTTGCCATGTATTTTTAGTCAGGCTGACAAACAACCTGCTACTGCTACATCCCCAAACCTGAAACCTGGCATCTTCCAGTAAAGAACCTTCATCGTTGGTAAGATTGTTTGGGTGTTAGCCCCGGATTGGATCAGGGAACACCCCAGCGCAATGGACAACTATATCCCCGCCAAGAACCTCAAAACCTCATGCCCTAAACGAAGGTGGGCCCCCGTCCCCCCCCCCCGAAATGTGCTGAGCCATATTCCCCGTTGCAAATGACCACGGCCGGGCATTGATTGAAGCATCCAAGGCGCGTAAAGGGATGGTCTCGCAAATCTCTCCATCCAGCTCGCCTCGGCTTCTGAAGCGTTTTGTTGAGAAAGTCTTGAAAACCAATCTTCACCTGTACCAAGGGCCTGGATATAAACAAATTGGGTTGCTCTGAAATCCCTCGCATTTGGCCCCTGGACGAAACGCAACAAAAGGAGTAAGTACAAAATGTTCGACCCTTGTGGTTTGATAGGGAACTCAACCAGTTTACCAAGTGCACCCAAATCCGAAAGCAAGAACTAAAACCAAACGCATCAATGGTCAAACTTAGCAATTCCCGAGTGGGTTAGCCCGAACAACTCCAACCTTTGGGCTTGCCACGAAAATCGTCTTCCGCAACTCAGGGAGTGAGTTAGCTTAATGTCTTTGGTCACCCGAAAGGCGCGGCCAAGCTTCCGTCTTCGTAGAGCGCCTCCAGTCGCCAGCGCTGAGGAAACTTAAAGAGCTGCGCCATGTAGCCTCCAAGGCTGCAGAGCAAGTGGAGGGCTACGAATCGAGTGGGTGTTGTCAAAGTTGGATTTTTGTTTGGATAGGTGCTGCAAATTCGTGCCGCCTTTGAAAGAGGTACCGAACAGGGCCCTACTTTTGTCAAACCGTAAAAAAAGTATGCATATATATATATATAGTCATATATGTAGGTCAATCTGACGCCGCAAACAAAAATAAATAAATATATATATATATATATGCACATGAACTGGCCAAAGCAAGTCCAAACGTGAAACACGTTCACGCCTCTGGATTAACTACTCGGTGTGCAATTCCGCGTCCTAAAAGTAGCCTTAATGACTAACCCGGATTCATGAACTCGTCTAGTTCATAGAGGGGTGCAGCACTCTAGACAGCATCCTTTAGATCAGGCCATCTGTTGCCAGAGAGACTCCATCATTGGCTTGTGCCGCCGCTGCGTTTTTTTGGGGGGTCAGTGACCCGACTACGCTCAGTGTCCTCCCGTGACTGGGTGACCAGTGCGTCAGTCTTTCTGAAGACGTGTCTCTCGGCGCAGGGTGACTGATGCCCTTTGAAACGGAGCAAGAGACCCCCCAAAGAAGAACCTTCTTTTCGCCCTGAAGGAACTCTTCATAAACTCCTCGGGATCTGGGACAGTTTGCCCCCGCTGCATGAATGGTCCATGACAATCAACCCGGGATTCATAAACCCGTGGTTGATTCATATAGCCAATTTTGATGATTTGGCGGGTGCGGATCACAGAGAATCCAGGCAACTGAGAATATGCCGACGCGTCCCTGCATGTTTAAACTCACTTTCCCAAAGGACCTGGACATGAAAGGTCAACCTTTTGCAAGCTTGACTACACATGGAACCATGGAAAGCAAAACACATGTACAAAACGTGGGCCTTGGTCAAGCGAGTGAAATACAACCAACACCTGACTGGGCCGCCCTCAGATCCTTCGCTAAAAGTTTAACTGTTGGTGGGTTAAATGGAAACTAATGTTGACCTACGATTAGTAAATAAGACCATAAATAATGCTAACCGATTTCCCGAAAAAATAATAAATACACCATGAATAATGCTAACCGTTTTTCCCAGGGGAAAATATGAAAAACATACAAAATAGAATAAAGTAATTCAAAAAATAACCTTCCCCCCACATGAATGAATGAATCCTGAGTTCCCTCGCTCACAAAAGAACCTAGAATTCCCATTGGGATCCATGCAAAATGCAGATTGTTATTCAAGGTCAGTGCTCCCAACCCTCATCCCCCATGGAATTTGCATGGTTTCATAGTGAGTTTATATAGGGATCATGCCAGGCATCCCTTTCTTTTACAATTCCTTTTAAAAAAACCATCAAAATCAACACATTGACCCTGGCAGCAAGGGTGCCCCCCATGAACCCTGAGGCACTAAATAATAACCAGACCATGAATAATGCTAACAAGATTCCCCCATCAAAAAAATATCTGATCCCCCTATCTTTATTCATGGTCAAGCGTTCGATTCCACTTGGCTCACCCCACACTTGCTTCTAGATGTATCCCAAATCCACAAACTTTATGCGATCCCTTTCTTTAAAATTCCTTTTAAAAAACCATCAAAATCAACACACTGACCCTGGCAGCAAGAGTACCCCCCATGAACCCTGAGGCACTAAATAATAACCAGACCATGAATAATGCTAACAAGATTCCCCCATCAAAAAAATATCTGATCCCCTTATCTTTATTCATGGTCAAGCTTTCCATTCCACTTGGCTCATCCCACACTTGATTCTAGATGTATCCCAAATCCACAAACTTATGGGATCCCTTTCTTTGAAAATTCCTTTTTAAAAAACCATCCAAATCAACACATTGACCCTGGCAGCAAGAGTACCCCCCATGAACCCTGAGGCACTAAATAATAACCAGACCATGAATAATGCTAACCAGATTCTTCCTGGAATAACCAACAGTTATTGGCTCAATACTACTTTAGAATTAGCCCAATTCTAAACTAGTATTCCCCCAAAGCAAAATAAGAAAAAAAACAACATGCCCAATACTACTTTTGAATTGGCCCAATTCTAAAGTAGTATTCGAAAACCAAAAAAACTGAGCCCAATACTAAACTCCTTTAAACAAGGCCCGACCCTGAAGATTCTCCCCTAATCTTTATTTATGGTCATTCAGGGGGGGGGGCCCTATTTATTAATCATAGGTCAACATTACCACTAAACGCTAAAAGATCTAAAAGGCTAAAAGGCTAAAAGGCGAAAAGGCTAAGGGGATGGCTGGGAGCCACCAAGCTGAAATAAGGTATCCCCCAACCTTCATGGCGTTCGCTCAAACGGTGGAATCGCCGGGGCAGAAGCGACTCCACCCCCCGCAGCCGCAGGCGCCTTTGAGGGCGTTCACCGGCTTCGCCTTCCTGAGCAGAAGGAGAAGCAACTAGGGCCTCCAGTAGAGAGGCTGGAAGAAGGGTACCCTTTTTTCTGTAGTTTTTTTTAGTAGGGGAACCCTTCCCCAAATCAAGGGTAAAAGGGCACTACCTTTTTGGGGGTCCCATATTCAAAGACCTGCTCAAACAAGCAGACCCGGTGGACCAGGGATCCATCAAACAAGATAACATCATTGTCATGGTCGCTTGGTTGCTCATTTGGATTGGCGGTTGCAGCACTTGAGACTCTGACATTCGCTAGCCACCCAACCATTTTTCTGGATCCAGCCATCAACGTTTAAACCTATTTCTTTCGCTGCTTGATGCGGAGAATTGAGGAGGATTTCAGCACTTCCTGCATGTTTCTCCGGTCCTTCTAGTAAATCCACTTTGGTATGCAGACCCCATATCACACCCCGACTTGCTGAAATGAATTTGTCACAAGGAGATATCTTGAGGTACCAAGCTCCATCAGCACCCCTTCCTGCTGTCCTGCTGTTGCTCAGCAGGGAATGAGAAATGGAATGACCCTCATAAACCATCCAGGTTCATTCCATTTCTCATTCCCTACCTATCGCACCGATCGCATGCCTTAGGGTTGCCCCGCATTCTCGGCGCTAGCACGCCGAGGCGCAGAGGCTGGAAGTGGCGCAGCATGTAGCGCTGCAGCTGGGCATCGAGGCGCGAGAGCTTGCGGGCCTCGCATCTCGCCCTCAAAAACCCGCAGGACTAGTCTAACCAGAAAGTGGGAAATACAAGTGGAACACTTCTTGTGGGGTAGTACACACTATCCGAAAAGTGGGGAATTTATTGGAAAACAATGGGAAATGCACATGTGCAGTCGAAATGATAAAAAGTCGAAGATCCAAAGCAAATAGCACCCAAGGGGCCATGACCGCCTTCAGGTTGTGCTTCAGCCTCGAATCGCGTGAGATTGGGAGAGCGATTCTCGACTCAAGTGAGAGGAATCGATTGTGGGTGTCAAGTTTCTGTGTTAATGAGGAAGCCCTCAAAATGCTCGGAGTTTCCTTGGTTTCCCTTCAAGACAGCCACAAAAGAGCATGCAGCACCCTAAACTTGAGTCCCTGAGTAGGGACTTGCCAGCTAGTCATGGGACGGGAGAAACTCTGCGCCTTTAGCAAAAATGCCAGCCCTTCCAGTGGATACCCCAAACTTTGCAAGTATGGGTACGCTGCACCGTGACTTACGGAATCAAAGGTGTGTTCACTTGCATATTCTTGAAATCCATCGAGCCATGCCAAATCGAATCTCCAAACCTCAACTGACAAAGCCAACAGCCCTGGACATTAAACAACAATTAGTTGCTTGCATGGTGCTTAATATCCCTCCAAAATTTGAAAACAATGTTTCCCAGTGCTTCCACTTGCCACTATAGTGGATAACCAAGTATGGCCACCCCTGGGTTTTGCATCATGGTTCCCCTGGTTACCTGGTTTCCGAGTTAATTTCCGGGACTTTCACCAAACCACCAATATCCACAGCCACCTAGGTAACCTAAAGCGACGCCTCCCCCTCGGATGGCTCCCTCGCCGAGGGGCGCGAAGTCGCTGAGGCCCCGCACCCCGCCCTTCGCGGCCTCGGAGCCGCTCTCCGTGCGCTTCCTCTCCAGCAGCTGGGCGTTCCAGTGCTTCTGCACCTTCCGCTTGAGCGCGCGTCTCAAAAAATCCCTGGGTCTGTGGGTTTATGGGGCGAGGGATCCGTCCATGTTATGGTCCATGGGTCTGTGGGTCTATGGGAGGGGTCAGGATGCCATGAAGTCTATGGGGCTGTGAGGGGAGGGGTCAAGTCGTGGCCTTTGTCAGGTCCTGGCTCCCTTTGACGGTGACTCCCGCGGAAACGCAGGGGCTGGATCACCGCTTTCTCGCGCCAGCTCGGCTCGTAGCGGCCGGGACGTTTTGGGGTCCATGCACCCACCGTAGCCAGGGGCTACACATCCCCCAGCCAATCCAAACCACCAATTCAGGAGGTTGCATGTGTGTGTGTGTTTGCGCAGAACGGGCCACGAATGAGCAAAACCCCAAAAAACACAAACACTAAGACAGTGGATTAAATAAAACAACAAGTGGCAAACAACAAAAATGAAGATGGCGAACCGACACAAAGAACAATCATATAATAAATGAAACTCACAAACCAAATGAAGCACAATAACAAGCCAAACACAATATTAATGGACAAGCACCACATACACCCATATCCATTTATAGGCATATATACATCTAACAAAACATGGTAAGAAACAAAACAATATTAACAGCAACCAATGGCAATAAGCACAAGAACCTAGCCCCGCCCTTTGGCGACCCGCAGGCGTGTCCTGTTTATGCCTTTGTTGGAGCAAGTCTTGGCACACCGTCAGGAGTAAAATTGCAGCTGTAGCGGCGCTCAGCGGACGCCGGGCTGGAAAGTCCCCCCCCTTTACCATGTATCTGAAAAGTTGAAGCAGGCGTCCCCAGGCAAAATGCCAAACAAGTTTATAATCCAACGAATCACCAAATGAAAGGCAATGTGAACAAAACACAATGTGTCCAAAACAGAGAACCCGACACATGTAGGTGTTCTGTCTGGTGTGCCTTTCAACCACTCCAACCAAGGTTCCCCCTTAAAGGCAACAACCCCAACCACCACTCCCCCGGGCTCCCCCACCTCTCCCCCCCCCCCCGTTCATTCGCTGCCTTCTCGGCCATCTTGGGGCCCAGCACCAGCGTCACCCGCTGCTCCACCGCGCTCTTGGCCGCCGCGATCTGCCCGCGGCTGCCTTTCAGCACCAGCCGCCGCACGTTGCCCTCCGCCTCCCTGGCACCGCAGAACCGGCGTGGTGCCGGCAGTGGGGGAGCGGGGGAGTGGGAGGTTCAGTGGCGCGCAGAGCCCAAGGCCCTGGGGCGCACTAACAGTGAACCTAGGTGAATAGCGTTTTGTTTTGTATAAAGCTTGAAACCCGCAGTGGCACTTGACATAAAGACCTGAAACGTAAAGGATCAAGACTAAGGTGCACACTTTCCTGGTCCTGACAAGTGTTGTGGCCAGGTCGAAAGCTTTGAACTTGATCGACCCGCTTGGAGTACACCCTGCGGCAAACCAACTCTATTTCGTCTAATTTGAGCGTACGTATATAAAGATATTGCTTGAAGAAGGCCCCTGTAAAATGTGTCAAACTGCTTATGACAACAAGAGGTCAGATTCATTCAGTTTCAGCCATTTGGCCATATCGACAGCTGGGAAAAGCACCGTACTCACAACTAAAGCTGCGACAAGCGACAATCAGACGTTGCGCACCCAGCCTTGCGTTCAGAGTCGTGGTTTTGATGCCTCATGTGCAGAACCTACCCCCCTTTGCATGCCAAGCAAACCAGAAGATCTCACCTGGACGCTTCAATAATTGGGCTGCCCTCAGATTGGCGAAAAGTTCAACCGTAAGCAGGGCCAATGGAAACCCCAGTAAACCTTAACAACCTCATGGGAGGGCGGGGAACCTCCCAGTTATAAGTCACTTGCCAGAAGCGCCAACACTTCAAAGGTTGGCAGCGTTGAGTCCACCTTAAAATGCAAAATCCTATCCGGGACCCCTGGTCATGCACATGCCGAGATGCCAGTGGCTTGCTCGATCTCCTTGATGCCTGCAACGAGACCCGCGATGCATCTGTTTCCACCCCAAGACCAGAACTCCCTGCGAGTTGACCTTGGCCAAACGTAGACACCCTGGAGACAGTTTACGCTTTGCGGCTCAAACAAAAATGAGGGAACTAAATGACGAGTGGCAATGCATCCTGGAAGCCGGGAACCCCAAAAAGGGCTCCCCGGCGTTGTAGATCCCATGTCAATGTGCAGCGGACTTGTTTCTCGGCATGCACCAACTCACTCGCCCAAAGGGCCCACAGAAAGAAGGTCAATCTGTTGGGACTTTTGCTACAAAAGGACCAACATGTGAAAACCAAAAGGGTCAGAAAAGTTGGCGTTGGGCAAGTCAGCCACAGAACGCATGGGCATATTTCAATCTTAGGAGCTCTTCAACCCTTCAGTGTCCTTGTCGTTTGCCTCGAAGCCTTCCCAAACCCCCCAATTCCTTTTTTCCAATGTCTAGCAAACGGTTTGGATGTGGTTTCTGTGGATCCACCCCTGCAGGATATTGAAAGAGAACTACAAAACCTACAAAAAAAGAACCAACAGGGGGACAGCGGGGGAGAACACATGAAATCCACAAAAAGCGCATCCAAACCGTTTTCTAGATGATCACAGCAAATGGCAAAATGGAACCTATGTGAAAATGAGAATGAGTTCAAAGGCGTGGGAAAGCTAGACAAGACGCTTTGCCTGTGAAACACTCTTCGTGCGGCAAAACAACTGGGTTGTTCCAAGCTCCGAGCAAAGGTCGATGACCATTTGTAAGTTAGTGGACAAGCCATTTGGGTGTGATTGCTTTAAAGGGGACCCCCTCAAAAAAACCCAACAACAACGAGCGGTGCTAGTTTCGGTGTCCCCTTAAATCCAAGGAAACAACATGTACACTCAAAAAGATACCCCCACTTGTCCAAGATCTATCTCCCAAGGGCCTTCACACCAACCGGCCAAGACAGCAGCTGAGCCATCAAACGCCGGAATAAACATAGTCTGCCCAAATCAATGTAAAGAACTAAGGCGGCCGCACCGAGTGTTCGACTTGGGCCTGTCTCTTATTCACCTTCGCTTGCCCGGGTTCTGACTTTCGCTCAGCCGAGAAGACCCACCAGGTGTGCCACAATCAAAACCTGGTACAAGAATGGTGAACCCAGAACCATGTAAAGAATAAGAATGGCGGATGTCCGCAACTCTTTCCGGCTGGGACTGCCCCTTACTAAGCTTCATCTACCAAAGGGTTTTGAGCAAGTGGCTCAGGTGTGCAACACCGAGGTCCCCCGCCTTTGCCGCCCTTGCCGATGACCGCACCAATGGCCTTGGCGTTCAGCTCCAGCTCCTCCTCAACCTGCCCGAAGTTTCTCGGTGCCTGGGCCTATGGTGAGACATCCATAGAACGCCCGAACATGGGTGGCTCGTCTTGTTTTGGGGGTACTCACTTTTTTGGTTTGGATTGAAGCGGGGAGCCACAAGGAGAACCAAAAAGCATTGGGATGTGGGTGGCGCAAGGGAGGTCGGGTCCTGTTGACGTGCAAATTGGCAAGACATTCTTCAAACTCCCACAGGTTGCAGGGAAGCCATCGGATCCCCTGAAAGCAACATATTTCCAGAAGTAGCACGCCCCCTTTGAAACCCATAGGGAAAAACCAAATATAGTCTTAAACAAATGGAAGTAACTTTGAGCCCTGAACATGCCATCCCTCAAGGGACCCAGCGTTGACTCTTGACCGCGGTTAAAAGAAATAGGCACCTCACAAAGCATTACATGGATCCCCTAAGGCGTCTTTGTAGTGAGATGCTTTACCCCCAAAGCTCGCCATGAAAAGCAAGTATCTCGTATATCTGCAAGGGCTGGAGCTCGAGGGCAGGGGCTCGAGGGCACATCGCTGTCTCCATTTGGGTGGCTTGCCAACTTGTATTTCTGTTTCTCTAGTCCCGCTTCCTTTGTAGCCAGTCTCTTCATAGAATAGCGCCACGGAGCATTCCGGCTCGTGCCGTTTCCTTTCATTGCAGGCGATAACAATTGTAAACACGGGCCCGGATCGTGAATGGCCTTGTCAAACTCACAAAGCGAGACAAACACCGAGAGAAAGCTCATGTCTAAAACGTCGGGGTCTTGACCAGCCCACCAAAGTTCTTGCTCTGGTGGCTTCGCATGTGTCAAAAGGTCAAAGTCTGATGTTCCTTTTCGCGTTGGACCCTGGAGACCACGCGTTCTTTTAGGGTTTGCACCCACTCATGCGGCAACCAAAGGCTGGCTGAGCACCAGAACTTGAGATGGGCACAAAGGCACAATTGAGTTGCTTGAGCCATATCGGGAGCCCAGCAAACGCCAAGAAGCAAACAAAACGGCACCAGACTGCAACTGACGGCCCCTACAAGAAGCTCCCTTTGAGTTGGCCCAAATGGTGATGTCTAAAACCACCACAAGGGGGTTCACAGCAAACAGATTGAGCCACAATCGAAGGAACTCACAGGGTCTATCCAAAAAGGATATTTTTACATTGTAAGAGCGGCCTTTAATGGAGCTCTATTGTCTTTTTCCACCAATGCCGAACGCCATCCATCAGGCAACGCTCGATCCTCGCCTCCGCATTGGCATCCTCAAAGTCTGCAGAGAGGACCTGCGGAGGGATCACCGTGACCCAAAGCGCGTCGCTACCTGGGCGCGTGTCTGCTGCGACGTCGCTCAGCCAATTGGGACACGAACGCTGCTTGGACGTGTCCAGCCCACAAAAGCGCTAGTGATGCTGTGGATGGACGAAATCCTGCAATACCTAAGAGGCCGTGGAGGGATGATTCCCCTGAAAATACCAACGAACAGCGTTTCCCATGGTTTCCAACTGGTGCAGGATTTTGTCCATCCACAGCAAGTTCCCCTGCCTAAGACAAGACGCTAATCAGGCCTCTGGACGAACAAACAAGGGGTTGTCACAACTCTTGGGTTTTTCCGGGCTTGGGGAAACCTCGTTTTTTTTGGGCGAGGAACAGCCCCAGAAAAGCAACAGAAACAAGAAAGCCTTCATGTGGAACCTAGAAATAAACAAAAGGATTTGGGGGCTCCCATGAAGGGCCTAAGTCATACGATCCTCTGACGCCCTGAGCCTTTGGAGAAAATCGGGGGAGGGGGCTAGGTTTGGCATTTCTACCACCTTCGGTGTATTTTCGGGGAACGAGGGATTTTGCCCGCCTCCCTGCGAACAAACTGAGCAAAAACACTTTGGTGATACAGCCCAGCGGATCCCGCTCAAAAGGCTACCCAGCCATTGTCCTCCTAGTTGTTTAAAGGCTGGTTCCATTGGCTACCAGCAATATGGCAACAAGGTTAACTTCGGATTGCGGAGAACCAACCAAAAAAGGGGGGGGGTCCCCCTTGTTGGGAATTGAACTATTTTGGGGAAGTTCTTCACCTAGAGCAGCCGTGGCGCTCTCGGTCGCCAAAGCCGGCGCTTCCCCAGCACTCGCAGCCTGCTTCCGGCGGGCTGTTTGTGTGGTGTTTCGGGTGCCAGTGACCAATGAAGCACTAAGGAGCCTTTGGGAGAATCGATCGTGGCCATCCTGTAGGTCAACCCGGGGGGTTCAAGTCAATCTTAATGGTGCTGTTTGATGTTCATAGTAGGATCCTAGTGGATGGCAAGCATATAATTCCTATGACATGACCATGACCTGCCAAAACAGTGTCGGCGTGCGCCTTGTCCACGTGCATGAACTAAGGCTCGCTATGTAGGCTATGGTCATGGATCCCTCAAACGGCCTCCGGATGATGGATGTGTAGAATTCTTCCCAGCGGGTGGTATGTGACCAAAACACGTTGTTCTTGGCAGTCCCCAATAAACAAAAACAAGACCAAATAAGCAAAGGCTCAGTAACCCACCACGAACATAACTGCGGTAGTGCAGAGCTGTTGGGCAATTGAAACGCTAAAACATACTAGCATTCTGTTCCGAGAAGAATGAGGGGACTAGAGTCGCAAGCACATTCCCCAAAGTGGGCACTTGCAGAGTCAGGACTTACCCAAACCAATGGAAATGGTAGCAGAACCCTCTTCGCGGCCTTTTTGGGAGTGAAAAACCGGCATTTCGCCTGAAACTCATCATTGCCTACAAGTCCCAAACACGGCCGGTTGTGGCAAGCCCTCGGAGGAGCAAGCTGCTTCTAGACTTTCAACGCTAGCTTGCTGTTGTGGCAGGGAATGAACCCAGGGATTCCTCAAAGGAAGCCACCAGTTGGACGGATTGTCTCGCCGTCACTCCAATTCTCCTTCCCTGCTGAGCACCAGCAAGCTAGTTGCTTGAGTTCTATAGAAGCCAACTGATGTCAATAGCCTTCGCTGGTCCAATAGGCCATTCCGCAAGGCTCGACAGTAGCTGAGAGGATGAAGATGGCTAGTTCAGTGTACGGCTCTGTTGTGATGTTGTGCTAAAACATCTTGTAGCAATGTGGATTCCGGCATTGTTGCTGATAAGAATGGCTCAACTTGGTCGTAATGAACCCCGCAAATGCATTGCAATAATTCTGGCCCTTAGCTACCTCAGCTGTTGCCTACCCAGAAATATGTTTGTTTGATTTGGCTCATACTTAGTGAGCCTTAAACGTTGATTCCCAGGGATTAAGATCCAGAAAAGGAGTTGTGTGCAAAGTTCCCCCTTCCTCCTCATGTCCGAGGTCAAAGCGCTGAATGTGGCATTTCCCTTCAACTACCGGAAGATTAGCTTATTCATTCACACCATTTGGGTATCGGTCGGTCAACATTGAAGCACCAGAAGGGGACCGCAGGTTTGAGTCCTTGGTTCCATTTACTAGGGTTCCAAAATGGATACCCATTTTTGACCCACAGCCATTTGATTGTTTAATATCATCAACACAGGAAAAAACAAAGACCCAAGAGTCTGCCCCCCCCCCCTCCCCCCCTCCCGCCTTGGGTGTGGGCGGCACTTGGGGAGGCCCAGTGGGGGGCGCCGAGTCCGCGCCCGATGCTCCGGCCCAGAGGTAGGACATCTTGCCCCGCTCCTTCCAGTGGTACATGCACCCTGGCGGCGGGATGGGTTGTTCATGGACCCATGTTGATTTTACTCGTGTGGATGAGTGGGTTCTTCGTCATGCCATGCCATTCCCTGAGACTTTTAGGGGCGCTATTGGGGGGAGGAGCCAACCCAATGTTTCCGGGGTCAGCACCGCTTCAGTCCCAAGCTCCGGATGTTCAGGAGCTCTAGATGTGCCTTGTTTTGAGAGTTGACACCGAAGGGAATCCCAGTGAAGAAGGAAGACAAGAGCACCACTGGAGGTCTGGGGCCCTAAAAGGGCCGAACGAGGCCCCCAAAACAGATGGGTTCACCTTGCCGAAATCATCCAAAAGGGGGGCTGCTCATGTGGAGACAAACATTCCTGGAGTCAACCTGTCCAGTTGTGTTGCATAATGTACTTTCAGGCTAGAGTGAGGAAGAGTGGACACATGCCACATGCTGGTGTCTCATGCTATACGTGAGGAGTTCATTGTAACCCGTTACAGTAGCAAAATGGATTAATGCTTTCTCTCCGAAACACGGGCACAACTGGGCAATTACATGCAATTACGCTCTGCAGCGATGCCTTGTAGCACGTCTCAGTGAGCACAGGCTATTGATATGCAACTGCATTCCCTTTTTTGCGTCACCACCATGTTTCTTCCAGCCAGCGGCTTGCTGGGGTTGCCGGAGAAAAGAATCGAACCCCAGCGGCGATCTGGGGGTCAGGCTCCCTAGAAAAACCGGCGAAAACCTCATGGGAGTTTGTGAGAAACTCTTCTTGCCCGCTCCCTAATTCGGTTGAATTCCAACTCGTTGGCTCCAAGGTGCCGCAACAAAGGTTCAGCAAAGGTTCCGTCTAGAAAAAGACCTCGCCACGGAAGGCACGTCCCATCTTTCTCTTTGCCGAGGCTAGCCTTGCGAGGAGTTCCAGCAGTACATCCTGGGGCGCGAGAAACACGCTTGCCACTCTATAGCAACATTCCAGCTCATGGAAGCCCTTTCGGGGGATGAAAACTGGGTCCGGGCTACCAGCTTTCCTTTACAAGGGGCCCTTCAAGCCCCAGCTGTAGATGTCCATGAGAAATGCTCACGCATTTAGGTAGATGGAAAACCCCCCTCCAAACAAGTTTCAAAAGGAATGGCCCACTGGAGGTCTGGAAAAAGAACGTTCCAGCTGGACTCCCTGCAGATCATCTGAAAAAGAATAACATATTTCCAGTAGTGATAGATTCCCTTTGAAACTCACAGAGGAAAATCCAACATATTCATTTAAGCACATGGAAGCTCAAATGGAACTCATGAACCAGCCCTTTTTGAGAAAACACCTTCTCATGGAAGAGCTCCTGTTGCCAGCCATTCAAACGACACCCAAGGAATCCGAAGGAATAACAATCAAACAAAACGCTAGAGTCAAGCTTTCGAAGACTCATGCACACTCTGGGACCGGTGTTTGGAAAACAAAGAAGCGGACGGGGCCTGGGTACTTGCGTGTTCAAGCAACATCGAAGGCAGGCAATAGCCATGCTCGTGAAGGAAACTTTACAAATTGTCACCCTCTGTCTCTCTCTCTCTCTCTCTTACAGTACAAGGGGTGCCAGGACTCACCGTTGCATCCCAAACAACCCCTAGACGCAGTGCTCTAGTTCTAGATTTTAGGCGGTCGTGGGAATGTCAACTACGGCTTAAAGCCAAATGATGCAAAATGCTACTGACTAAGAATGTAACAGGGGGCTTTGTCAACTCTGACCAGTCTGAAGGTCTTCCAACCTTCACAGCCTGTTCCCAGCCCAACCTTACGACTCCAACCGCTGGGTTCTTTGACTGGCAGCGCTTCCCATTCCCAAGGAGACACTGGAAAACACAAGCTTGGCCACTTGCCGAACAGTTCAGGGCTGTTCCCTGGGCTGGGATGAACCAAACTGTGTGGTTGAAGCAAAGCAATCAAAGTGGTTGAACATCTGCCCCCCAAAACGGTTCATACTGTGGATGGACGAAATCCTGCACCACCTAAGAAACCCTGGAAGGATGATTCCCCTGTAAATACCAATAAACAATGGTTCCTCATGGATTCCTTTTGGTGCGAACGGATTTCGTCCACCCACAGTACGTTTCTCAGAAACATCCTTGACAGATCCAAACCGTGGAGACAACCGGAGTGGCTTGTGGCTTTGGGAGTGTCCAGCCGCGCGGCTTCTGACTCGGCGTGTCGTACTTGAAGTACAGCTGGGTCGCCTTGTCCAACACCTCGTCTCACTTGGGGCCCAGGAGGCAAACTGAAAGCATGGTGTGTGTGTGTGTGATTTTAAAGCGTCCCGCCTTTGAGGTTGGAAAGGGAAAACGGGTCCCCCTTTCACAAACACCCAGGTCAAGTGACAAGTGGTGACTTCAAGGGGCCCCGAGTTGTGACTGGCTGCACATGAGGAAAACTGGCTCCAGCTGGAGCTGACACGGGCCTCAACACTTCCCGAACTCCGCTGCTTTGCCCAAAGGATCCACAAGTGAAGGGTGATCACCCTTTGGGGCCAAGACAAAACTTGGCCCACATCAGGCACACAGAAAGACACATGTGTTTTATACTTGGACAAGACCCCAGAAAAAATGGACTCTCTCTCACTGAGCGCTGGCACCCACTTGTCCTTCGTGGAGTCCGCTAGAGGACCCCCCACCTCAGGCTAAATCAAGCACAAACTGCACCAGAGTGGGTGTCTGGGAATTCGTCTTCGAGGTATTCGGTGTGTATGATTTGTTGTGTGTCAAGTTGACCCGGCATCCGTAGGCATGCAAAAGCACTACTCCCTGGCCCCAAACCCAATAACACCACTTCTTCAATTGGCAAAAACCAACTGAACGATCCGGCTTGCTTAAGACGGCTTCGACGAAACCAACACCTACCTGAAAACAAGTCAGTGCAGTTTTCATATCGTGGCTACGTAGCTGTTACTATACTCTCCACCTTTTGACCGCTGTTTTACCCCTTTTTCCCCCCAGCACCAATTGGCGAGTTCGCTATGATCAGCGCAAACACATGTTGGGCGTCGGAAGCCGCGATTGGGAACCAAGGTTCCTGAAATAGACAAAGAGCGGCCCTTAGTTCCCTGGCCTACAGACCGTTTGCTCCAGCACTTGGCACGGCCTCCAACTTACTTCATCAAATAAGTCTGGACCAAAAAACCCAATGAAAACGATTTCCTTTAACACCAAGGGAAAATATAACAACACTCAGCAAATCCCTTCAAAGCCAGTAGGGCATATTTACAAAAACAACAACAACAGCCATCCTCAGCTTCCCCAACTGGCCACGCACGCCTGGGCTGGCTGGCCAAGCGAGGCAAAGCGAGCGAGCTGGGCTCTGCTCCCCTCTCTTGTTTGCTGCAAGGACCCCCCTATCCAAAAAGTGAGTTTCACTTTTTGCGGGTTTAGTCCGGAAAACCCAACTTGATTTCAAGCAGAAAGTTCAAGTCTAAAGATCCGCAAGCCAATAGCAGCTCTCTCTGAGCTCTCGAGCCGCCACGGCTTGCTTGATGAGCTCCGGCGTGGAGGCCTCCGAGAGGAAGGCGGTCCGACTCTCCGCCTGGCGAGTCGATGTCCGGGGAAGAAAACGCCCAGAGAGGTGGCCCTTGGGGGGGAGGCTTTCTGGGCTTTCTGCAAAAGAAGGGAGGTGTTTGAAGAGCGGACTTCTTGGGTTCCTGATTCACCCGTTTTTCCTCCCGCAGCTGACAGCTACAGGGTGAATAGGCCGAGGCAGCTTTCAGGGAGGGTTCCGGAGGCTTCTGGTCCTATTTGTTTGCATGGGGCCTCGACTGAGGGGGAAGCCAAAGAGCTTAAAAGGTCCGCTTTTCGCACGGTGGCGGAAGTAATATGAGTAAAATATCAACTTATCAAATGTGATGGCATGCCATGGTTGGTGAGTGGCCTACCGTTTTCCCAATGTGAGATTGAATCAATCAGGGGCCCAAGGGTGACGTGACAGGGTATCGTTTGCTGATCATGCAATGGCGCGGCCAGTTGAATCTGCTTCATGCAAATTGTTGCCGCTCGTCTTATATGTGGCTGTGGCTTTCATGGGTCACGCTATTCAGCATATTGGGAAATCCCCGCCATGCGAATGATGTCCACCAAAGGGTCCCCGATGGTCCCCGGTTGGTCCTTCGTGACGGGCTGATAGCCACTGCCACGCTGTGACCCTTGCCTCTACATCCACGTCCTCATCGCCGGCTGCCTCCTCTTCCTCTTCACCTGAGTGTGATACTGTTGACGGGGGGATCGCCATGCAGCTTTCAGCAGGGGTTAATAGTATGATCCACGAATTCCGCGCAAATTGCGCTTGCCTTTTGGTGCCGAGGAAAAGGCAGTTTAGAGTTTAGATGGCCAAGTTGCATCTTTAAGATATTCAGGGTCTAGAACTGGTTTAAGCCCCCTTCAGCCTTGTCAATCTGAGGTCATCTGTAAGTGAGATTTCATGGCGCCACCATGGTGGCACCGCCTCGCAACCAAAATGGATACTGCCAGCCTCGTTCTTCATTCTCGGCAAGGAAAGGACAGAGCAAGTGAGCAGCGGCGACAATTGGCAGCTCCAGCCCCAGGTTGGCACCATCACAAGTTGAACAAAGGGGGTCCTCTTTGATGCGGCCGGTCAGGTCTTCTCACAAAGTACCTTGGACCTAAGTCCATTGCACATAAATAAACTGTTTATCACGAGTGATTTAACATACATGTGTTGGGTTCCATTCCCTATCTGTTTATCACTTGGTTACAGTTTTGCCATCCAGCCTCAAATCAGAAGAAGGACGCACTTTACGATGCGCTGCCTACATTTGATTGGTGACCCTGCAAGAATCAAACAATCTACACTAGATACTACAATGCAGCAGCTTACCAGCGTGAGCTCAGTGAGCTCGCTTCCCCCTCCAACAATCAAAGAACACCAACCCCGAAGACCCCTTTCGAAGTGCCAGTAATTCTTTACATGCAATCAAAACTCCCAGTGCTCCGAAATCCATGACACGAAAGGCTGCAAACTGGCAGCCCTGAAATTTCGGGCTTGTTTTGGATGCACCTGCGGATTCTCGGAAAGTGCCAAAAGGGTGCTTGAAAGAGTGCAACACTTGGTGGCACCCGTAGTTGGGGCATCCCAAACTTGTGAGATGAAATCTAAACCAAAAAATGCGCAAATCTGCTTAAGGCTTAAGAGACAACTAGGTCCTCCAGTAGAAGGTTAGAATGTTCTGTGGTCTATTTTAGTAGGGCAACCCTCACCCACAAAAGGGTAAAAGGGCACTACTGGGGGACCTAGACAATTGAGAGACGGCCAGGTTCAGCCCAGCAGCTCTCCCCTTCCGCCTCTGCCTGAAACAGCCGCAAGCTGAAAGAGGGGCCAAAACCCGGAAAACGGGAGCCACCGATCGAAATGAACCAACTCATAGCTCCAAAAGGGTCTGCCTTTTTTTGGGGGAGGACCCCTTTTTGGTTGGTGTTGAATGGAAACAAAAAAAACAAACACCATGGTGGGTCCCCCAAAAACAAACACACCCCTCTAGTGCTTTTCCTGACAAACGCCAAAGCATTCAGCTACATTGGGGTCACATTGGGATCCGAATTTCCAGGTCCCTTTGAAGTGTTGGCCCAGCCAAGCAAACACATAAACCAACATGTTGGGTTGCCGGGGGGGTTTGCCCGGACCGAATGATGGTCAGTCTTGGACGTGGGTGGGGAAATGAGCAAATCCAACATGTTGATTGTGCACAAGCAAAAAAAAGAAGCAGTCTTAGACCTAGTACTTCCTGAGCCATGGAGCTAAATTCGTTGCATCCTGCTTGTTGCACTGGGCGCTTTTGTGACTTGGGTACCCTTGCAACTTTGAAGGTAAACCAAAGGGACGCAACCCCAGAGGGGGCTATGTCAAGACGCATTCAGATGGGGCGCTTCTCTCCAATCTTCGAACAAAGGGCATCCCATGCGCTCCTTGAGAGCATCCCATCCGCGCCTTGAGACGAAGCCTCTCAAGCCTTAGCCTATCCAAACCTACCAATGCCTAGCCTCTTCTTCCTTCGTCTCGGCTTCCGCTTTTGACTCCTCCTCGCCTGAGCCACGGCCCTATTGGTCCCCCCACTCCAGTTGGGTGGCCAAGACATTCTGTCAACGAAGGTGCCCCCACCCGTAATTACTCCTAAAAAGGCCGCAAACGGCCCCCCCCTTCGAATGATTGCCGAGCTCAGCTTACGCTACGCTTCTCACTGTCGGCGTTAAGACGGCTGAAGTAACAGCAGAAACTAGTAGTACTGGTAGTAGTGGCAGTGGGAGCCGTGGTAGAAGAGCAGCAGTAGCAGTAGCAGCACTAGTGGCATTTGTAGTGGCAGCGGTAGCAGCAGTAGCAGCAGCAGCAGCAGCAGCAGCGGCTGCAGTAGCAGTAGCAGCAGCGGCTGCAGTAGCAGTAGTAGCACTAATAGTAGCAGCAACAACAACAGCAACAGAACGTGGAATTTCAAACTGCAAAGCAAGAAATGACCTTACCTAGTGTATAACTTGGGTAACTGGGGTTCGTCACCTTGCTATCATACCAAGGTTATGACCTAGTTATAACCTAGCTAATTGCTATGTAACTTGAACACCCAAGTAGTAAGCATCGCTGTTGTGTTTTGCCCCAGCACTTCGCACGTCTCACTTCTCCCCGCCTTCCTTGGCCGGCACTAGCTGCCCCTTGGCAGCATCCCACACCAGGCGAACCTGGCATGACCCCCATACAGTGCCCCCTCATAGACATCAGCCCCAACTGCAATCTAGGCATGCTGAGGAGAAGGGCTGGCCAGTGCAGAGTGATCCACCTCCCACTACATTTTAAAAGTTTGAAGCCCCATCTCGCGGTGAGAAGGACCAGAACGGCAGTGCTACAAAGGCTTAGCATGTTTAGTGATGGGCAAAACTGGCGGAAATTCTGATTCATGTGGTCCCTCAAGCATCCGTTGCTTACTCTCCATGTCCCTTGCCAGCGGCGCTCGGTGCTAGCATCGCAGATGGCCAAAATGGAAATCCCACGGGCAGCCAGGCGAAATCCTTGTGTTTGCTGAGTATTTGGAACCAAGCCTGCGCGAAACCTCAGGGCATGCCAAGCCTAGCTTCGCTGGTACGTGATTGGAACCAAACTGAAAAAGTGACATCGATTCTCAACCAGGTCCAAACTGACCTCAAAGGGATACCGATACCTATGGTGGTTGGGGCTGTTCACGCAGGTGTTGGCACAACTCTGCCTGCAAAGTATGAAGTAGTTCCTAGCCCTCTGCATGACTAGTCCGACACAAAATAACACAGGTGGCACCTCATTCGCAGCTTGCGCGAGCACCTTTTCCGCACCTAATGCAGGTATGGGAATATGTCAACATAGAAGCCCCCGCACAAATGGTTGACTTCCTGCTGGTTCCCCATTAAGCCTGTCTGAACGCAGGTAAGCTTAAACAACAACAGGCAAGCGGGTAAACAAACAAACTAGCAAACTCACAGACGTATATATATATATATATATGTATACACATTGAAATCCGCATACTTCTGGGAAATTCACTTCCCTCGTGGGCTAGTCAGCAAGCGGTGTCTCACTCTGCAAATCGGCCCCATTTGCCCGAGGAAGCAAAAGCAATCTCACAAATCTGGCTTCTCTGACAAAAGGAAGCAGCCGCTCAGGTTTTCCGTGCAAGCCGAATGCCGAATGGCTAGCAACTGCAACGCTCATCCCTTAAACTAAAACTATCCAAACTGGGTCCGCTCAATCTGGGTTTGTCTCAACTGGGGGACCGCGAAAATGGCTTTTCGCTTTGACAGTCAACTCAGGACACCACCTGCAAATGGGTGTGTCTCAAAATGAGGCGGCCCGCAAAATGGCTTGACTCACTACGGGTTCTGCTGGAAACTCACCAGAAGCAAAACAAAACAAAACAAAAAACGCTTCAGGGCACCTGTGCACAAATTTCGGGACAAGCCCCTTGTAGATCCTTGTAGGCTTGCCTCCGAATAAGCGACCCGTGAACACAAAGAGTCCATCACTTCAATCGAACCCAGAACAACGACCCCTCCCGCTCACAAATGCTTTCTTTCTTAACCCAAAACAAATGCATCTTTCACGAGAATGAAGTTCCCTCGAAAAGGAAAAAAGGAAAAGACACATCTCCCCTCCCTCGAAGCAAATGCTTTTCGCCATTAAACAAAAAAAAAACACGGGTGCCCTCCAAAACAGCACCACCCCGGCCCGGGAAATGACTCGTTTCCGCGCCTGTGGCTTGTCCGTGTCTGGGGCCTGACGTGGGTGCAGAAAGATGGAGTCGATAAGAAATCAAATCATGGAGGAGACCCTAGTTTCGGTGCCCGTACCACCGAATTGCTTTGGTGTCAAAAGGATGGGTTCCCAAATTCCATCAGGACCCTTAGGACAATACATCTGGACATGCAGTCCTCCCAAACCTCTCCGATCGTCCAACAAACAAACAAACAAAAAAGAAAATCAAAGCAAGCGAGGTCGCTATGGCTACAACAACCCTCCACGGAGGACGTTTGTCCAAGCTAGGCCCCTTCAGAAGGGAGAGTTCCCAGAAAAAGGTGAAGGTTCCCCTCAAAATGGCACACCCATTTCGCAACCAGGGGTTGATGAACAAGGTCAACATTAGCACCAACCCTGTATTGTCCGTCCTTCCCCTGCTGGCTTGTTTTTTAGAAACTCAGCAAGTCTATGCCATCTAGCACCACCTTTCGCAGGCATCCTACACACTTAAATAGTTCGGCTCACCGCAAACAGAAACCACAACTTCATCCCCTTCATATTTTCAGCATGTGCTTAAGTAGCAGGGACAGGCCAAACGGAACTCCGCTTCTGCGCCGCATAAACCAGGCTATCTATGCAGCCAGGGTTTCGCCCATCCGGCTTCACCTAGCTATACCATAAGATACCCTAGCCCAAAAACAAATCATAGAGCCCGTTGGGACCCTCAAACGTCCCAAGGAGAAGCACCCAGGTGTCAGGTTTCCCAAACCATGATACATACTCAGCATTCCCTGAGAACTGGCGCCCCACCCTTTCGAGGGGAACCTTCACGTTGGGCGGGGGCACCCGCCAAACATCCCCCATGTTCTGCGTCAATCCGTGTTCGACATTGGCTTCTCATCCGACTCCACCCATTCCACGGTGAATGGAACTGCTGGAATACTCAAACTGAGCAGAACCAAGAGAGCAAGAGCAAAGAAACAACAACAACAACAATCAACAACGAACTCAGCGGTTGTCTCCTCTGGTACAGGTCAAATAGACGACAAACCTACTATACAGTTCAACGGATGCATTTAACAAACTCCAAATGAACAGGACCCAAACAGCTTGAAAACAACAAGAGAAAACAACAAGACTTGTATACAGGTCAAACAAAAACGACAAACAAGACTGGGCTGTCCTCAGTTCCCCCGCTCAAAGCTTCACTTTTAGTGGGCTAAATGGACAAATCCCCACTAAACACTAAAAGGCTAAACAGCTCAGGAACCAGATGGCCGGGAACCACCAGGAAGATCATACACAGGACCAAGAAGAGAACAATCATCACCTACTATCTACAGGTAAAACAAACACGACCAACAAGATCTCCCCCCAAAAACGCAAACAGCGCGCCTCCTCATCCGACTCGTTCTCCACCACCGCCTTCCTCGCCGGCGCCGCGCGCCTCGGCGCCAGCTGCGGCGCCTGGTGCAGCGCGCCGCCGCCGCGCCAGTCGCCGCTGAAGGCCGGGGTGGCTGGGCCCTGCGATCGAAACGCCGAAAACGAGTGATTCAAGCAAGTGAGTGACCCCCGAAATTAATGCGGCTTCGCGTCTGGTTTCCGTTGAAACCACCAAAAAGGGTAGCCGCAAAACAGAAAACACCCAAGTGGGAAGGCAACCCCTGCTTCCCACTACCAAAGCACCGGGGAAAGCTGGCTCCGGCACAACTGAAGCCCAAGAAAAGTCCCTAGGCAATGCATGCGGCTGTTGGAAACATTCCCCATCATCCCCCATGTCCTTCTTTTTCTGTCTGGAGGCCAAGGGGAATTCCCTTTACAGCCACAGGGTTCCTTGGAGGACACATCCAACCACCTGCCCTACAAGCTGATCCTGCAAACCAGACGCCAAGAGTGACCTTCAAATTGGTCCTCTAAATCCGCCAGTACAGGCTGTTCTTTTTCTGGCCAATATCCTGTAAAGCAGCTGGCAGTCACTTTTCGTCTGGCCCAAAATAATCTCAAAATTGAGGGGCCCATACTTTGTCCTGGGGGGTGCACACAAACAATGCCACGTCCAAATTCAATCAATAGTTGCAACCCAAAGTAGATCCGAAATTGTTTTCTTGAGACACCCCCCCCAATGTGGGTTTGTCTCTAATGATGGACCCCCCAAAATGGCAACGGTTTCCTGTCAAGTTCCTCTAAAAACAAATAAACAAGGTGGTTCTCCACAAAACCACCCCCCAAAAAAAGGCGCTCCGAAAAAAAGGACCCCAAAATGGCAACGGTTTCCTATTGAGTTCCTAAAACAAAAAAAACAACAAAAAAACAAAAAACAAAAAACAGAAGCCGGTTGCCCAACAAAACACAAACGATGCGCCCACGGCCCCAAAGGCCCCCACCCCTCCCTCCCCGCCTTGCGGGGCTTGCTGAAGTCCAGGCTAAAGTCCCAGGCCATCGGATCGATCGCCAGGGCCGCGGGACCACTCCAAGACGAGTCCCTAGGGTCCGATCTGATTCCGAGGTCCTGTGAGGTAGGCCTGCGTTCAAAAAGGGCCTGAGGCTCCTAAAAAGCCGAAAGTGAAGTTTGACTTTACTGGGAAAAACAACCACCGCTTTGGAGTCAAAGTGTGGACTGCCTAGAGCTTTGTGCCTGGTGCGAGTGGAGCTTTCGCTTCGACCTCGGCCATGCCCGGTTCGTTGGCCGGACAAGCTGTGGCTGGCTCGTTACTCGCTTTGCAAGACGGGTGCTTCGTTGGCCGCTGGGTGCGCTTGGCTAAATGAAGGGCCTCGGCATACCATTTGGTCAGCAATGCTTGCTTCCAAGATGACCATGGCATCCAGCTTGGCTGAAGAGGCTTGGCGCCGAGGGGCAATGCGTAACGCCGGAAGAGAGGGCCGGGGACCCGCTTTCTAGGGTGAACTATGTGAAGTGGGGCACCCAAAACAGAAAGCGAAACGGGTAGAATCCACTCGGAAACGGGAGGGATGGACAGCTATACCGCGGACCTTGTCGAGAAGAAAAGGGCTCTCGGGAGGGTTCCGCAACAGTGATCTTCGAAGTTCCGCGGTGCCAGAAATCCAGACCCGCGCCCCTTCCCGAAACCTTCTGAAACTCTAAGCTGTAAAGCATCACCAGTGGAAAATAATTACAAACTTGCTATCCAAGCCTTTCGATGCCAACGAACTTGACTCCAATGGCAGATTTTAGCCACAAAAAACCATGCCATCCCTGCATTTCAACCGACGGCTGGGTCTATGGGTGACAGTTGTCAGGTTCCGAAACCACAGAACGACAGAAAGGCGCAAAGACTCCCAAATGCCAATCAAACGAAATACTCATGGGTCTTTTTTCAGGGTTTGAGAACTAACAAAGAGGGGGGGGAGTCTTGGCGGCTGCTGCATCCTCCTAATTCGCATAGGATTTTGGGACCCACTCAAGCAAGTTCGCCGCCGGCAGCCCTTTGACGACACCGAAGAAGGCCCAGCGGAACCCGGTTTTGGGGTTCAACAGGTTTTACCTTTTTTGCTTTTCGCCTGCAGAAACCCATTGACTTCCGTCTCTCACAAGAATATTGAGGCTAATTATGATATGTCCTTGCCAGAACCCCCTAGGTGACTAGGTAATGGGAGAAGAAGCCTTGCACTGCGTTTGGTTCTTTGCCCACTTGCAAACAAAGGACATGAACCTAAAACAGGGTTGCAGCACTTGTCTCCCCACTGCGATACTGCTGCAGCGTGACAGCCTTCCAAATGACAAACTCTCCACATTGTGGAGGTCTTCCTAAACAAGTGGGGGCAAAGCCGGTTGCTGCAACATGTCTGGGGCGGGGTGGGAATTTACACTCAGGAAAACCCAAGGAAACAAACTAATTTGCAACCCTTGAGTCCAGCTTCTTTCAGACTCGGAGCTCCTGTTTCGCAGATCTCCCTTCATGAGTCGACTGGCCAAAAAAGACCCAAACACTTTGATCGCAACCATAATCAAAACGGCTTTCCCAAAAAGTATGAAGCCCAAACACTCGGTGAGTAGATTCTGGAAGTGCAGGGCAGAGACAGAGAGAGAGAGAGAGCGAGAGAGAGAGAGAGAGCGAGAGGGGCAAAGAGAGAGCGAGAGGGGCAAAGAGAGAGCGAGAGGGGCAAAGAGAGAGAGATAGAGAGAAACAAAAAAGAAAAGAAACAAAAAAAAACAAGAGAGAGAGAGAGAGAAAGAGAGAGAGAGAGAGAGATGGGCTTGGCAAAATCGAGCTCGCAGCTTTTCTTTGGGGGGTGGCGGGGAATCATAAAACGTGATTTCAGTACTTTTTTCAGGGGGAATCCATCCCTTATCAATAAACATGGGGTCATTAACCTGGGGTCAGTCAACATTAACCCCCCGAAAACAGATCATTTCCCAACAAGGGAACCACCCCAGGGGCTGATTTATATGCGGTCAGTCAACATTAAACCCCGAAAACAGATCATTTCCCAAGGGAACCACCCCATTCAGGGTTGATTAATATGGGGTCAACATTAAATGCTTTAGCCCTTGCACTGCCTTACCACAGATCCTTCAGCCTCAATCGCTTCCAGTGGCCTCGTTGCTTGAAGTGCCGCTGCAGCTCGGACATGCTCAAGGGCTCTAACCGGCCTAAGCGACAGGGCCGCAGGCGGAGAAGCTCAGGAGATACGACCTGAGTTGACGGACTCATTTTGTTAGCCCCAGGCTGAAATACGAGAAAACCTTTTGCTGCTAACTGCCGATTACGCTGAAGGTTCATGCCTTTCGGAGGGATCTCATAAGATAGGTCGATTCCCGGCTAAAAGGGGGACCACCACATTTTTAGCACGGTCCTCGCGATATTCTGTTGACCTTGGAGCCAAACTGAAATCAGACTCATCGGATTCTTTCACCTAACTCACCTGAAAGGACAACTTGCCCAGCCCAAGGGGAAATTCGCCAAGTCACCTGCGAGTTCGGCCCATGTCCTTTTTGGGCTTTCTATTTCTCAAGTTTTGCGTGAGCACTCAGCAAGAGAAATGGTTTTGACGTCCAACCCAGCAGCCAGGGCCAGTCGTGATGCAGCTGGCCCCATATTGTTGCAGAGTACCTTTTTCCAGGCGAGCCAGCCCATGTTTCGTATAATGTTCAGCCAACGTGTTTGTGTGTGCGTATCTCGGCGATGATTCCTTCAATGGCAATCCTTGTGATTGCCCACGTTTCCCACCATCCTCATTTTAGGTGACCTTGATAAGCCCTGTGGCCCTGGGAAAACCCCAAATTGGCAAAGGCTTTCTTTCCAACCCTTGGTATGGGCTTGCAATGAAAACCTTCCTTTTGGCAGCCTTGGAACAACACATGAACATAAAGAACCAAACCATTAAACACAGAGAAGAAACAAAAAAAACAAAAACACAAGAACGACCCCCGCCCCCCCCCAAAAAAAAAAGAAAAGAAAAGAAAGAACGCAAAGTCATGCCACCCGTGAAGACTGAAAGAACACCTCGGGTTCACTATCGAATCTCCGACCCCCTGGGGCGCCCGTCGAACCTCCTGCAAAATGCGCTCAACCGCCTGCGGAAGAAAAGCAATCTGGGCAAAGGCGGGGAGTTCGATCAGGGCGCTCAGGACTGGCAGTTTTTGTTTTTTTTCCCGGTGGTCCTTGTCTAGGTCACTCCAGTAGAGAGGTTAGAACAAGGGTACGCTTTTTTCTGTAGTCTATTTTGTAGGGGAGCTCTGGGCCAAAAAGGGGTAAAAGGGGCACTACTGCGGGACAAGTTGTTTTAGCCCACCCTGCCGGGGCACTACTGCGGGACAAGTTGTTTTTGCCCTTGGAGTTTGGTGGGTTTCGTGGTGTTGTCGTGCTACTTGCTTGTTCCTCGGCCCCCGTGGCTTTCTCTTGGTTTCTTTTTACACGAGGGGTTGCTGCATTCAAATAGAAAAAATGTGAATAGCATTAATAATGCTACGAAGGGTAATAACAATAGTAGTAATAATGCTACGTAACTTTAGGAAAATGCTACGAAGAGCAATCATAATAATGATAAGAATGGTAGGCATAACAACACCAAGAACAAATGATTTAACACTTTCGCCGTCATGTTGGTAGCGGACAAAACTACTCAAGTTGCTAACTGTCGATCGATCCAGTTTAGGATTCCACAACAATTTCCGGAAGGACTAAGGATGCTAATGGCTTGCGCTACAAAGAACACCACCTGACAAAGCCAACTTGAACTTAATGACCGACATTTGGGTCAAGGTCAAAGCCTGATTTCATATCAGTCACAAAGGACCTAGGAATAAAAGGGACCAAAAGGGAGAAACTAAAGGGTCAAAAGGGCAGGTGAGTTTGAGTCTAAGTCAAAGCCTGATTTCATCAGAAGCCTACCCATTGTAAATAATCAACAGTGGTTTGACAAGGCTAAGGCCCTTTCTGATTGAGAGAGGCCCCAGGTCATTCCCAACACTTCCCTCCCAGCGTTTCAAGGTTTTTCTGTCACCTCACCAATGATTTGTGGTTTGGTTTGGTGGCTTGGGCATTGGGAAATGGTGGTACCTTCCCTATTTGGCGTCAACAGCTACTGGGGGTCAAAATGCCAAACCACCAATCTAAACCACCAACTAAGGGTTCCCTGACTACGTGAACCTGGCGAATATGCGCCCCGCGTTTCGGCGATCACAGGCCTGGAAGGAAGTGACGCGCTTGTCCTGAGAAACGAGTAGGCGAAGCAGGGAGGTCCTGGGGTCTAAGGGCTCCTTGCAGTTGGGGAACGGGGGCAGTGCTGAAATTCTCAAGCCTGGCACCAAATGGTGCTTATTTCGGGGGAACGAGGGGCGTTATGAGGGGCTTGATGCGTGAAAGCCTTTATGGCAAGCCAGCGAATGCCGGCTAGAGTTTGCAAGGTGTCTCGAGATTCCGCCCGTGCATGTTTGATACTACTTCTGTTTGTGTGAGTTTGTGTGAGCTGCGGGCGGAACCCTCTGTTGGCGATCATCAGTAAATTCTGCTAAGGCATGTGTCTCAGGCATCCAAAAGCGTAAGGTTTTCCAGTGTTGCCCTATGTTGCTGCAAGTCAAACAAGGTGACAAACTAGTACTAGATGTTGGGGGCAAGTGCTACGGCACGGCATCACCACAATCTGCAGGTCAGCTGAAAAGCAATCATTGGTGGGTTCACTTACATAAGGGCACAGGCGCGTGGTCGGTCAATCCTCGCTACCAAAAAACGTGTGCTTTGCAAACAGACGGGGGGGAGGAGGGATGGTATGTCCCAAAATAGTTTGTGAGTCGCCCAGTGGAACCTTGCTGGAGATCCGCTCAAGAACAAATGTTCCTTTGGAAGGGACCTTCTGGCGGGTTCAATGCTAGGGGGTGGGGACCAATTCCATTTATCTAGTCTTCCCCCATAAAAGGGGACATGGAACCATACATGGAGATCTCCAGTCCAATTCCCCTCCTTTTCTTCCATTTTAATGCGGTGGGGATCTTGGAAAACCGCAATTAACTGTTTGCTGGTCAGGGAAATGCGACCAACATGCAACCAGCAAGGGAAAAACCGTTGAAGATGGTCTGGCTGATTCTTACTAACCCTTCCCCAAAAAAGTCGGAAAACAAAAAGAAGAAAAACAAAAGAAACTACAAAAAATGGCGGACTCCGCTGGGCAACTGGGCGGCTGCTCAAACACGAAGATCTCCAGGACCCGCGCCATGCCGGCGTCGCGCCAGGCTCTTACCAGGCGCCGCTCCACCAGCATCTGGACCTCAAAATCCACTGTTTGCCCCCGCCTGGTTGGTGGTTTCAACATGGGAACCGCGAAAAAACCGCCGAGTTATTTTGGGGGGTCAGGGTGGCTGTAGGCCGAAAAAGCCCACCCTGCCGGGTGTTTTGCTTTCAAGAACCAAGATCGGAACTTGCAACTGTGCTATCACAAGGATCTCTAGGATATATTTAGGGCCTGTCAGAAAAGCATCTTCATTTCAGGTGTCTGTGTATCTGTTCAAGGAACTCTGGTCAAACATCCTTCCTCTGGGTGACGGGCATGGCTCCCTCGATTTTATATGTGACTCAAACTCCTCGGTCGATGACGATCCCGACCAACCGAGTGTCCAAACTAGCTGTATAAAAGGGCTGACGGCTTGATGATAGGGAATTCAACCACAACACGCACTCGAAAATTCAGGCAGGGGCCTGAATCAGGACCAAACGGCCATGGGTCAAAATCCAAATCGTCCCGTGAACATCCCAATCCAACCACTAAAATGGGTTCTATGGGTGGTGAATTCTCCAATCCCCCAACATGGGATCAGACAAAACGGTTTTGACCAGCCAAACAGCGAAAGAGAAGCTGAAACCCCCAATTCGGCACCCCGTGGCTGGGCGCGGGTTTTTCCCACTCGGAACTCCGCCCGAAACTTCCGGAAGTTCTGGGGTTGCAGCCAGCTCCTCCTGTGTGCCTGGCCGAAAGGCAGGCAACAGTGCCTCGCCAGACACCCTCTGGTTCTCAAAATAGTGAACCCCTTTTTGGAACCTAAAGGAAAACAACCTCTATGCAGGACCCCCTTTTCCTTCCATAAATTTTAGTATTCCTTCCTAAAATAGGGAAACCAAAAGGAAACCAACCTCCTGGATGAGGCCCCTAATTTGATCAGAAACACCCATATGGACCGGCAAACAGGGATACTCCCCGGTTCGTGGGCGAGGCATGGGCTGAGGTTTCTGGAATCCTGGGCTCATGAGAGGTTTACTCCACCCCAGGATGTTGGAACCCTGGAACATGTTAACAGATGTTTACTTTACTGGAACCCCTGGAACCCCTGTTAACAAATGTTCATCCCCTTTTTGCACATCACATTGCTCAGTTCCCATTCGCGGGGATGGGAATCTCTTCAGAAACAGACCCTGGGAAAGTGGGGGTCGTTTTTGAAAAGACCGATGCATCTGTTGTCACAGAACAGAAGGGCAAAGGCAAGTGTCACTAGATGCCAATTGCGGGTAGGTTTGGGACTGTTTGCATTCTCCTGAACCACAAAACCATTGGCGGGGAACGCCTTTCAAAGGGTTGTTTAAGGTGCCAGGGAGCAAGCAAAAATATATTACCCTCCATACATCTGAAACCCATGTTGTGGGCCAATCTTCTTAGAGACTTGTCAAGAAGACCAAGAACCATTCTGGGTGTGGGGGCCCTCTCCGGAACCTAGGAGTGGCGCATGGCAGGGCACGTGAGGCGAAGTTGGAGAGCCTTCGTTCGACATTCGTGAAGCCAAAAGATTGGAGGAGAGCCTCTGGGGCAGCAATAGTGCAATCAATGGTAGATTAAAGTTTCAGGGAAATGACCCCAGTTTCGAACTTTGGAAACAGTCCAGGTCCAACAGAATAGGCCCTCACCCAAGCCACAGGTCGCCTTCTGCGTCCTGGCCGCACTCCGCCCTGAGCCGTTCTTTTCGAAAACCCCCACGACAGGTTCGGAAGGCTTAGGGCTTCTTCGCGTTTCTTTTTCTGGTTCTGAGACACTTTCGTGGTCCGATTTTGGGTGGTGGCAACTGGTGGGCATGGGTTCTGAAATCGTAGCCTTCCCTTTCAGAGGGATATGAGTTGCTCTCGTATGGGTGTGGCTCAAAATAAAATAATGGAGCTAGGCTGCGCAGGTTTTAGTCTTTCCTTCACCAAGAGAGCCAGTTTGGCAATTGCAATTTTTGTGAGCCACAGCCATCTTTCTCCCACCATAGCTTTGCTCGCAAGTTTGGCCTGGGAAAGCGCCAGTGAAAAACCGAAAACAAGCCGCACCCCACTGCGCCATTCACAAAGAGGGAACCGACAAGACATAAGCAGGAAAAAACGGTTGAACAAGTGAAACTGTCAATCCAATCCTTGTTGCAGACTCAAGGACCCCAATGTAAGGTCGGCTTTAAACCCTTGCCGCTTCCAATAAAAACAAACTCAAAAGGGGGCACCCTCCCATCCACGAACATAGACCCTGACTGAGGGGTTGGAATCCGAATATCATGTTCCTTTTGAAAGGGACCCTGGGGTGGGTTCTATGTTGTAGACAGGATGGCACTTACCCCAAAAACACAAACACACACGCACAAACAAGCAAGCAAACACTCACACGAATGGGTTGCGCTCCCTGCTCTTGGGGCTGCGGCTTGAGCAAATCCTTGGACATGCGCTGCCACACGAAGAAGTCCTGGCACCACCGCATCCATCGGCATGCCCAATGGGGAGGTGGGTGGTGAGGGGAGATGCCAATCCTAATCTTCTCCAACCACGAAATGGGAAATGGAACTGTAAGAATTAATTCTGCGGAGAAAAAACAAAACAAATCAAGGGAATGTTGGCAACTCACCATCTGGTTCGTTGTTGTCGCCGGAGTAGCTTGGCTACTTGCTGTTTGGACCATTAACCTGGTGTTGTTTGGGAAGAAATGCATTTGTCCCCCTATACTTGGGCCACGTAGATAGAAACCGGGAGCCTATTGCCAGGATATGCCAGGATATTACCCACTTGTGGCAAACTTGGGGATGGCTTATACCAGCCAAGTCATTTACATATATATCATGCTCCTTCGTATTATTGTTTTCACCTCATTGAATGGGCCAACTTGGCCAACGGCCTCCGCTTCTTTTCCGCGTGTTTTCCGCATTGCTCACTGCACCGAACAGGCAGATTCCCGGGAGCGCGGAGGTGGTCGGGGCAGATCCGGATCGCCGCGCTCCGCTTTTTGCAAGGCGTCCACGACGGTAAAGCCCAAGGCCTGGGTGACGTTGGTGCCATCCTTGGCGGAGGTCTCGAAGTAGTGAAAGCCACGCTCTGATGCGAAACGCTGCGCATCTGCCTGTGAAATCTGGCGCCGCGACTCCAGATCCACCTTGTTCCCAAGCATCACTTTGGTGAGGATGGACTCCTTCTCAATCAGGCGTAGGGAATGGTCAACTTGCCAGAATGGATTATCACTTGTAATGTCAATCACCATGATTAAAGCTGCCTTCCTCGCGAAAAAGGGCGGCTGAAAAGTTCGATAATGCTCCTGCCTTTTGGGTTCATCCCAAAGCCTGACCAGAACAGCTTCCCCATCAATCGTCAAATAAACTTTCCTGAAGTCGATGCCAGTCGCTGGGACCCAATAGCCTTCATTGAACCCATCCTCTGCACATCGCAACAGGATGCTGCTTTTCCCAGCTGTGGGCGGACCACACAGAGCGACACTTAAGCCCCGTGCGGGAATGGATGTTTCAGGCCGGATGATCTGTACCTCCGGACTACGCTGCAACAACTGCAGCTCCGCCGCATTCTCGAGACAAAACCGCTTTTTGAGCGCCTCACCTTCCTCGAGCAGTCGGCCCTGGTGCAACAGCTGACGCGTCACATGCTGAGGGTTGCCACTGCCAGTGGGCATCGCGGGCAAGTTGGTGAGAATGTCAGCCACCGTGGCGTTGCTAGGCAAGGACAGCTCTGCAACCAGTGCGCCCGACAAGTGATAAATCCGGAATTTGTAGTCCGGCATCGGCTAGAAGAAATTGGGAGGATATCACTTGATCGCAAGTGTTTAAGTCCACGGTGAGAAGGGCGAACTTGTTCAATTGAGGGCAGAATCCTGTTGCCGCGCGTGCTAGAGTGACTTAGTACACTCGCCATGCTTGTTTTGCAAAGTGATTAGAACAGCGGAAACGGGCAAATGCCAACAGCCACCATCAAACAATTGCGTATCTGTTATGAATCATAAGCATCCAACTGCTTGAGAAACTTGGTAGCTACAACAAAGAACATATACTTATTGTGCTTCCAGTAAGTTTAGCAACCTTTCATTTGTCATGTGCCATTGTGCCTGTCATTTAACGATTATGTACTTGTACCATGTGTTAATGGCGCCTTTTGGATATCATAATACTCACTTCCCGGGTGAATTGGGAGAAAATAAACACTTATTTACCACTAAAATGGTCTTCCCAAGCAGGAAGTGAGAATATGTCATGTCTTATTCTCCAGCATTTAACTGATGAATCATTCCCCTGCATGTGCCGCTTCCATCCTTCACACATCACACGCGCATATGCCATGTGTGGAGGCACGTTTTTCCTTCTTGGAGTCTTTGCGCTTCCTGTCTTTCCGAGATGCAGCTGAGCCGAGCAATATGAGCGATGTGGACACCATCCCGAACAAATCGAACGCATGACTAACCTGGGCCGGGTGTGTGTTTGCTTTCCAAAGGAGCTTGTGACAAAGGACATACCTCGGATCCCTCAAACACAAAAACAAACAACAGGCAAGCCCGCAGGCAAGCAAGCACACAAGAACCAACAAACGACAATCAAGCCCGAATACAAACGAATACCCCCCGAACAAAACAGACTAGAGGACGTTTCCCACATTTTCCCAGCTTGATTTTTTTGTTTGCGCCCCGTCACTTCCACCGGGTCCACCGATTCCGGAGATCGCGGTCCGTGAGGCAGGCGACGAGGTCCGCTTTGTCCCCGAGGAGGTGGAAGGGCAGCTTCAACGAGCCTTCGGTTGGTTTTTGGGCGAATGGACCGGATCCGACCTTTTAGTTCTTCACCCTTTTGATCCACAATTGGTCGTGGCAGGGTATTTTTCCCGTTGCTTGATGTGTTTTTGTGGGTTTTTCCTGGCCTGATTAAATTCTACCATCAAAGTCACCCCCTAAGTGGTGGGGTAAAGGGAAACAACCCCCAAGTCTGACTTTGATAACCCCCAGAAACCGTCAAAATAACAACCCTGTTTCTGACTGTTTGCAACAAACAGCCGGGCAGCAAGCAAGTCTGAATTCATAATTATCATCCTAATTTCTGCTGTATATAGTCAGTCCCCGGGGAGAATTGACCCTAGGTTCAACGCCAGCATCTGCCTCCAATATTGCACCTTTGCTGGCATCGGGCAATTTCGCACCTCATCCAGCAAGGCATTCAGCGCACCTTCCAGCGCTTCGCCGCTGGAGCCTTCTGCGTTCGGCCTCCTGGTCATGTGCCCCCTCTGCGTCCTCCTTCAGATCACCAAAAAGCCGCCCAAAGGCACTGCCTTGAAGATCGTTCCGTGCAAGTGGCAGAACTTGGGGGTCGCATGGCCGGAGAGAAGCAGCGGTTGGCCACCTGGAGGTTCTCAGTCGCTAGCACGAGTCAGGGAACTCAAGCGCTTGGATCTTCCTTCCCTGTCCCTCACTTCCGATCGAGCGGGATGGCCAGAAAAAGTCGATAGAACTGTGTGTTTACCATTCAACAAGTTGAAACCCAACAGTGACTCAAATCCGAAACGGAACTCAGGGAGTGAGTAGGTACCCACTTTTCCACAACCATAGTTTTCAGCGTCCTTTTCAGGGGCAGAATCAATCACATGACTCGTCTTCCCAACACCCCCGCAACAAAAAAGAAGTCTAGGAACTCAGGGAGTGAGTAGAACCCACTTGTCCACAACTGGGCCACACATAGCAGGCAACAGTTCTTGTGAAGATCCTTTGCTTTTCGCGACTCTGGGCTGGGCAACATGTTCTCAGTGTCCTTTTCAGAGGTAGAATCAATAACACGACTCCTCCCCCGCCCTCCCCGTGACTCAAGTCCAGGAATTGTGGGAGTGAGCTCTTCACCCAACCATTTTACCCTACCACAGGGGTGTGACATTTTGAAGGTTTCAGTTAACCTCTTTTTTACAGGCAGCCAAAAGGACAATTCCGCTTTTGCGTATATTTTTTGGGGGGTACCAGTGCCCCGATTCCGGGACACACCCACCGGCCTGTTTCCCAAAAAGTTAAAGTCCAAAAATCCATAACCAAATGGCTATACAGCACAAAGGCCCATGGAGGGTTCCCTACTTAATCTCCCTCCAATCCGAAGCCATATCATTCTGAGAGTAAACATGTTCTGTGGACATATATGAGAAGGCTCTTGGAGCCCACAAGTGCAGTGGCACCTCTGGTCGGAGCTGCCAGTTGCATTAAACTGGTCAGCAAACCATGAAAGTTCACTAGGTCCTCCAGTAGAGAGGTTAGAATCATTGATAGAATACGGGTGCCCTTTAATCTGTAGCCTATTTCAGTAGGGGAGCCCTCCCCAAAAAAAGTGGGTGAGAAAGGGCACCTAGCTGGGACCTAGTTCAAAGTCCATGAGCTTAACGCCGGCTGCCCAAAGGGAGGCCCTTCGGGTGTCCGGGCAGCTGGTGTCCCGCAAGGTGGACAAGCTCAGGCCCTCCAGGGCCTCCACCTCACGGACGCGGTGCGGCGCGGACGCGCTGCGGCTGGTTGGGCTCCGTTTTGGTTGGGGACACCTCCCGTTGTGGCTCAGAAAGGGAAGCCGAAAGGTAAGCCACCGTATTTATTGGTTTATTAGTTTGCTTGTTTCTATTGTTTTTTTTGTTGGGGGGGAGGGGGGGGGGAATCCGCCATGAAAAAACGAGAAACCCAAGTGGATGTGTTTGGTCCGTTTGGGATTCCAACTTGTTGGTTGCTTCCTTTCCAATTTTGAGATTGGTTTCTCACCTGTGTTGTACCCCAACGAAACGGGTGTTGCTTGTTTGGAGTTGGTGCCCTTTCCACCTTGCTTCAACAGTCAACCAAGAGGAAAACCAACATCCATTGATAGGAGTCCCTAATTGGACATACCCAAATGCAATGGTGCCGACTTTAAACAAGACACACTAATTCCATTTGGGAGTGTCTGTGTTTGAGGGTATCCATTATTGGGATGGATTGAAAGGGAAGCCAAAATCAAAACCCACCAGTGTATTTGTCCCACCTTAAGCATTCGGCACCTGGAAAGGGATGCGATTTCTAGAGTCTTCGATGGGGTTACCTCGAATTCACCCGTTTTCTAAGCTACCCCGCAGAAAAAAAACAAACCACACGGGTCACCGAATTCCTGCGAGGGGTGCCAAACATACGCGCCAAGCGAGGGCAAGGGGTCATGGACATTGCTTAACCCTTTTGAGGGGTTCATGACTGCAGGGGCACAAAAGACACACTAGGTCCTCCAGTAGAGAGGTTAGAATAAGGGGGCCCTTTTTTCTGTAGTCTATTTTAGTAGGGCAACCCTCCCCCAAAAAAGGGTAAGAAGGCACTACTGGGGGACCTAGCACATACAAACTACCTGTCTTTTGCGCAGGCAAGATCAGTTTCTTGAACATGTTGTGGGTCATTTCGCCAAAATATCTTCGAGAAAGACAAGAGCCGTCAGAAGCCAACTGTCAACTATTTGAGTCTGGCAAACCATTAAAGATATTGAAGACGTCGACCCTTCCAAAGCGTACCCCTTGCCTGGCGTGTTAGCTGCCACAACAGCCAAAAGCTCACATTGAGACCCTCCAAATGGTCGGTTTCCTTCTGTTCCCGGTTGACCACAGCCAAAACAAGAAACACACCCACATCAATTGCCAATTGCCAATTTCCTGTCCGGAATGATTGGAGGTGTTCGCAGCTGTGTAACAACATGCCTTGCTCGCTTCCGGCTAAGTCACCCGTCAAATGCACGGAGTAAGTATCCTAATTCTCCCCATGAGACAAGAGCAGCCAACATCAAAACACCTCACGCTAAATTCCTGAGCTTGCCATGTCAGGAAACAAGTGAAGATGCACTGTTTACAGCCCAACTGCTTTCGGGTGGTTCTTCACACCATGGAAGAACAACACATCGTGTTGGGGTCTACTTTCAGACACACCTCCCAAGCTTGCTTCCTGTTGCCTTGTCAAGGAGGTCCTGGGCCACTGTCTCATGCTGGATCTTCTCCATCCTGGCAATCCCCGAATGCTTTTTCTCGAGCTCGCTGTCCCGGTTTCTAAGGACTTCCCCTGGACTGCTTCGAATAGGGATGGATACAAAGGGGATGGCAGTCATGTTGACGAGTTGGCATTTTCATGTTGTGATGGTTTGAAGGCGAGCCAAACATAACCGGCCCCAAGTCCTCCTTTCTTTCTGTTCTTCTTTGGGGGGGCCCACTTCTCAACACATCCAAAATGTGTTTTTGTTTATGGACCGACTTTGTGCTTTGGAAAAGTCACACTGATGCCTCCCTGTGAGGAATTTCACGGGGCTCCCCCCAGAATTTGGAAATGTGCAGTGAGGTTCTCCCGTTTTGTGGAGCTCCACAAAAGGGGTCCGAAGGCCAACCGTGAACTGGAGCCTCCAGGGGCTGTGCACGTCCCAAAACTGCTACGTACCAAGGAGCCATACCTAAGACCGATATGCAATACGTTGGGATCGAATCCTTGGGATCGAATCTAACGAAACTCTCAGCTCAAACCCCACTGATTACTGCGCCAGGGCTTCGGAATGCCCCGGCTGCGCCAGGACTCTTCCCGGAGCAATCGCCTCAGATGGGGTACAAATTCCATGGGCTGACCAGGTGTCTTACAACATGGCAGCATGGCAAAACGTGGTTGAAGACTTGGGAATGCAAGCGCTGTTTAGATACCACAAAACTAACACTTTGACTCTGGTCCATATTTGGCAAATCTTGAATTGTAAAATAAATTTGCGAAAGAGATCCCAGATCGTCATAGGATGC